TGGTAGGAGGGACAATGCTGGGAAAAGTCCAAGGTTAAGGGGGCAAAGGCGCTTATGACTGAGTGAGAATGTGGGATTTAATCATCGTAGAAGGTATTGATTACCGAAATATATCACTAATATTTTTTTTTATTTTCTAAAATTATGGGGGGGGGGGGGCAAACAGAGGGCGCTCGTCCCTCGCTAGCTACGCTATTAGTGACGCATATTCAGAAAGGTTGAATATGTTCTTTAGGAGTAATTTAAACAGGCATTATGTAAGAGCTTAATCTTCCTATTGTAGGTGTTTCTTTAGACCTTGGGGGGTTGGATGGCCGAATGGTTAGCACGTGCGCGCGCTGTATCACACGATCTGTCATTGAGTCAACTGGCGGGGTTTCAATTCCCCGGTTGAACGTGACAAGGAGAAGGGTCGCCTGTCCAACCTCGTGGGTTTTCTCCGGGTCCTCCGGTTTCCTACCACTGCTAAAGACCCCTACGCGCAAACGAATGATTGAAATAAAATTGAACCATGTATTAGTCCCGAAATGACCTAGTTTGAGTCGAGTGGACGTTAAGCCTCTCTCTCTCTCTCTTTCTCTCTCTCTTTCTCTCTCTCTCATTTATTAACATGGCAAGACCATAATCAACTCTAGATGCTATCGGATGGCCCCGATTGAAAGAAGATTACAACGGTTCGGTCATTTTATTATTTATTTAAAAAATGGAGAAGCAAGGCTAAGACTTGAATGACCAGTACAGTGGTTACCATCGATGTACAAATCTTTTCAAAATTACAACTATTGATCACTTCAAACTTGGCTAAAAAAAAAGTAATTTGAATTAAATTTTCAATTTATTCATTTTTCAATATCTATTTTTGAATTATTATAGCAAGAATGACCAGCACTTTATTTAAATCTTACATAATGTATCTTTAAGGGAGTGATTTGAAAAGAGGGTAAAACCTTCGAATGTAAAAATCTTTTTACTTCTGTGTACTGGACAATAAAACGAATGAAGTCCGTTTCCACTTGCGTGTCCCATTACATTAGATCGACGTTTTCGCCGATGAAAACGCGCGCGAATACGCCAGGGAAACGCGTACATGGAAAACTGACCTTAAAGGTTTAGTGATATAAGTGTATAACCTCCGTCATATTCCTGAAGCAATGGCCCGAGAAATCCCTCTCTGGACGTTGCTGGATTGGCTTCTGATACTTTGAGCGTGTGTTTCTATTCTTCCAGTTCAATCAAATCTATCCCAAGTACAGCAACACGACAGTCCTTCTTTTAATGTGGGGTCTTCCCTAAAACTTTGGACAGTGATTTAAGGTATTAAAAACGGTGAAAGTATTGGTCGTCTCCATACAGTATTGTTTACATTGTATCCGTGTTGATAGCCTCGTTTGTCAATTAGTTTTTCTGCAATATTCTGCTATACAATGATCAATTGGGCATAATAAAATCGTGAGTCTTGACGTAAAGTTATGTAAACATATTTGGTCCAATTTGGAGCTCCGTTTAAAGCGTAATGATATTGTTACGCAGTTAGCTATTGGTTGTTAATCGGACTATTGACCAGTCATAATTTGGAACAGAAATTTGCTTACTTTACAGCAGAATTAAGTGGGATTAAACGAAACACTGCGAGAAGAATGAACCTCTGGTGTAAACAGTTTTTATAAATAGTTTGAAAAAAGATATTGGTATATAATGTACTCTAAGCATCACGCTACATATCCATTTATTCTATATCTTTGACCAGGAAAATAAACACAACGATATAAGCACGAGAATAGGTTACATATCAAAAAGTTCATTGACATTGTAATAACCAGCAGCGACGTTGGATCAGTGTGTATTGCTTGCACTGCACACAGACAACTATCTACTTCGAGAATAGATCTCTGCCCTAAATGGCCGCCATATTAAAAAAATAGTATACTATTTTGTAATGTAGTTCTACTCCGTGCATATTTGCCATACACACAAAAACTAAACAAACTTTTTCAGTGATATTAAATTGAAGCGGGATAAATATTTCTTAAAATTATCCACGTTTCCGACTAAAATCGTCGATTTAGGACTTAAAATGTCGATCAACTAGCTTAGTGTCTGTTCTCAAGCGCTGCTAGTTGTAGACGGACCGTGTAAGTTTAGTATGGAGGCGGGCCTACTGGGTTCGAGGTTAGGGCTTTTGAACCTTTGTCCTTGGTACAAGACGGAGTGCTATGAAGTAACAGCTTCTAGGGTTAGTGCTAAATGAAAAGGCCAGCTCAATTTTTCGTCATAGGTCACGCGATGTAAACAGGGCTAGCGCTAATCCCAACCTTAAAGTAGCTAAGTCTCTAACTCAATATCATCCAAAGTCTTCGACATTGAAACCACGAATTAGTTGTCAGTTTAAATCAACATTGATGTTGTGATCTTACCGGGAAAAGATGGGCTTCTGATATCCAATATTTATAACAAAATAAACATTTTACCATTGGTACACGAATCGTGTACCATAATGCGTTTCGGCGCCATTTGTAACAAGGGACTCAAAGAATGAAGCTCGACGTATTCCACTAGTCATGACAAACGGTGACGCCATATTCTTATCTGGAGAGCATGCGCAATAAATACTATCGGTGTAGACTGGAATAACCAGAAGCTAGAGATTTCCATTCGATTGGCGTATTTCGCCGAACATAACTGATTTGAAATTAGAGTAAAAACGGAAACGATTGAATGTCAATCAGTTTATATACATTCATATTGTATTATTATATGCACTGCGACCCATTTTTATCAATTTCTAGGTCCCAAATATTAGCGATTTAGCTCCTTTAACCCTAACCCTGGACCTAGCCGCAATGCTTACCCTAACCCTAACCTACAATCTCACCCACAATCACACGCCCTAACCTTATTTACATCTCAACGACCTTGACAAAAATTGAGCTGTTCTTAATAAATAGATTTATGCTACTGGTCACCGATTTGAACTTGTTATATAACCCGAGTGATATAAATGATGTAGGCTATGTTATAATCCTTAATTGAAGGGTAAACCAAGTACACCACAATCCATTAAATAAAGGTCATGATCAATGGGCTACAATTTCCAGTCAGTGAAAAACTCCAGACGAGAACGTCTATTTCTGTACCAATCTGTTTCAGGTTTGTAGTTATTCTGGTAGTTTAATTACATCTAAAGTGTATATATCATTATTTTTAGTGGGAAATGATCATTAGTCTAAATTAAACGTATTTTTATACTCCATCGACGCCATTTCTGAACTTGAAACCGATACCAGTTATCCCCCCTTTATTATAATATCAGTGGTGTTTGACTCGCCTTGTCAGTGCCTTCTTATGCATTCATTTCTTTTAACGGAATACTTTTACCCGATGGTTTTAAAAATGCACTGAAAGTGAATAACTATTCAAAAAATCTCACGTACAACGCGACAGCGTAATTTACAAGCAACCATGTAGTCCTATTTTTCGTCTCTATTGAAGGGCGAATATATTAAAAGGTAAGCCTTTGTATTTAACAGTATGTACCAAGTACAATGCTTACATAGTAATGAAGACGTCAGTCAATGGCATCATTTTCTACAGTCATGGACCAATTTAGCGAGTGATTTCCCTAAAATGTCCACATGCATCTGTAGGCACTTTATTACTATTGTGTAATTTCTTTATGTCCGTATAAGGTTATAAAATTGAAAACAAGCAGTTGCCATGCATGATACGCCCACATTTTGCAAGAGATGGACAGGGGACGAACTAAAAAAATCATGTGAATTCAGGAAAATCTGGTCCGATATGCGCGAATATCGAAAAGAACCGAGATGTTCGAGTTATGAACATACATTTCAAGTTTCATCTAAATCGGAGAAAAATTGTGACCTCTAGAGTGTCCACATAGTTCTCTTGGGGATAACCCTTTATATTTCAAGTTTCGTCAGAATCCGATAAGAATTGTGATCTGTAGAATGTACACAAATTGTGGACGTACAAAAAGAAGAGCCAATTTTAAAACCCTTCCCGGAGCTTATCCTTTGGATGTAATTCATCTTGGGCGTTTCCCTGCAAAGACAAGGTACCTTACCTAAAAAATCTGGATCAAGCCTATTTTGTGACTTCCTCTGGCAAGTTTTTTTTTAGGAAACACTTGTCTACAATATCACCCTTGGTGGAAGTGGACGTAAAATTCCAGGAACGAACGAACGAACGAATGTTGGGGATTCACGTTCACAAAACCTTTTCACCTTGTCGAATCTCGTGGCTTTATAACCAATGACAAACTATAGAGAATAATATATAAGCTACCGTACTAGTCCCCATATGGAACAAGAGATTAACGTCTTGCGCCAACCTGCTCTTCATTGAATTCATTCACATGCATACCAACGTATACACGGAACCGTGTTTGTTTGTACCATCTCAAAGACTAGATTCTTTCAAAGGTCATTTATCTTGAACTGCTGAGAGAGAAGAGAGAGAGAGAGAGACTTGGGTGAAACGGTTACGAATCTATTTGGTTCCCTGTTTTGATATGGAGAGAGAGAGAGAGAGTTTAACGTCCACTTGACACAAACTAGATTATTTCGGGACTAACATATGGTTCAATTTTATTTCCATAATTCGCTTGCGCGTAGGGGTCTTTAGCAGTGGAAGGAAACCGGAGGACCCGGAGAAAATCCACAAGGTTGGACAGGCAACCCTACTCCTTGTCCGTACAACCAGGGAATCGAAACCACGCCAGTTGACTCAATGACAGACTTTATGATACAGCGCACATGTGCTAACCATTCAGCCATCCAACCCCCCCCCCCCCTGACTCAATGACAGACCTTACTATGCAAATACATAGGGATTCAACCTCCGACCCCTAGTTAGCACCTTACATGCTGCGCCCATGTAGCACCCAATGTAAATGATGAAATAAACCCTAGTGAGTGCTATATTCTTCCGCTCTAAATAGGTAGCCTACCAATCAACATAACCAAGACAGTTGATATATCATTTATGCAAAAGATTTATTGAAAAAAGACAATGAAAGATTATGAAATTGGATATAAATAAATTTGATTATATAATAAGATATTTATATATATTTATATTATGGAACATGAAAAAAAAAATCAGTTGCTTCATTTTATGGTTCAACAAAACAATAAAGTGTTAATCTGTACAAGTTATGGATGAGACAATGGGACTTGTTTAATTTACCACGCTTGTCATGGAATGTTTGGATATAATATAAATGTACAAAAAAGCGCAGAGCAGAACGAGGCTTTCATTACATCTAGTGCACGAAAGAACTAATTAATAATTACATGTACATTCAATAAAAAGGACTATAATAATGTTTTTACAATCAGTTAATATAACATAAAGTACAATTATTTATTACATGTACAATTACACATTACATGCGCAAGTGATAAAGGCAACAGCTCATTAGGCCTACATGTAAAAACAATTAGTAATTACATGTACTAGTAATTACCCATTAGTAGTAATTACTAATGGCATATACAAGTAATCCCACATTACAAGTAATATATACACAAGTAATCACATATTACTAGAAACAATTACTTATGGCCATAACATGTACAAAATAATAATTACTGGAACATGTAATCACCCATTACATATACAAGTAATCACCATTACATATAAAAGTAATCACCATTACATATAATAGTAATTTCCCAATACATATAATAGTATTTGCCCAATGCACATACAAGTAATTACCCATTATATGTATGAGTTATACTTACCCAATACATGTACAAGTAATCACCCAATACATGTACAAGTAATTATTCAATACCTGTACAAGGAATTACCCATTACACATATAAGTAATTAGTAAGAGATAAAATGACTAATTAAAGCTAATAAAAACAGAACAACACAAACATATGACTTAGTTGCAGACAGTGAATTCAATTCTTAACATAAGATATATAAGCAAATAATTTCTTGATATTTATTGCATATTAAGATACATGTGCAAACATAAATTTCTCTATCAGAATTCTATCAGATCATTTTATTTCAAAATATAGATACATTTGGTAAAACTCTTATTTTGATCTCTTCATTCTTGTGATCAGGAAATAGTTGACAAAAAAAAAAAAAAAATCGTTTTAAAATTTCTTAAGATTTTTTTGTTTTAAATTGTTATTTTTAATACAATTCAAATAACCATACAGGTTCTTCTTTATCCTTTTGCGTAGAAAACTAACTTATAAAAAAAACCTTATAAAATAAACATGTTAAGGGCAACGTCCCAAATCCACAGAGAAATTGTCTCTTAAAGGAAGGGGAAAGCCAATATACAGATTGGAGAAATATAAGGAAATCCTTCATCAGGGTTATTTTTGGTTGTTTTTAGCCAACCACATGTACAAATAAAATAAGTAGAATAAATAAAATAACAAATACTAAACTTAAACAAATATAAAATAAACACTTTATAAATTTTAGCAGGTATGGTTATCAGCCTAAAATATTTTCTTTTACCAATAAAAAAACTAAACTATTTGTAAAGTGACTCATAAACGCAGCTGTAGACCACACTTTTTTTTAACATTGCACATGGAAATGTTTGTATGTTTAATAACTGCAGGTGTTCTGCAGAAATTGTTCGTTTGGCTGTATTTACAAAACATCTTAAGATCGCAGGAATTCTTATCTGTTATGAAAATTCTTTGGGACATGTGTACTTTGTTAGACTGGCCTTGAGTCCATGGCAATACCATTTACAATCCTGATTCTCTACTAATTTCATCAGTTTCTGTCCGTTTTTATTCTACAGACGGGACTGGGAGAACAGAATACAAATCTTTGGTGGAATTTTCAATTAATCGGATTTTTATTGATGTGACCTTCTGATTGAAGCCAATCCAAAAATGAAATGAAATGGGGTTGTAGTCGAAAAGGACTATTTTCTGTAGCAATAACCATTGTCGCTTGCCATCTGTCGGTAATACAAAATCGAACAAATGGATAATATAGATGCTAATAATCCATCACATTGACACTATGACAGACCTTATGATGCAACGCGCAAACGCTAACCATTCGGCCATCCAACCCCCCTTACTGTAAGAAGTAAACCTATGTGTACTCAACTTTTATTGTTGTTAAATCTAATGAAAATAATTATTGGTCTGCTAGAGTGTGGAACCTCATATATTTGAAATTCACCGATTACCATAAGACTAATATTCCAAAAAACATCCATTTCTATATCGCAACAAATTATGCTTAATAAATATAATATCTTAAAGCTAGGATATGATGAATATCTCTGTAATAAAACAATAGATTATATATCTCGACTAGAATATATGCTTATAAAATGCTGTTTATAATATACACGAGATATGGAGGATTTTCAATTGTTGTTATCCAGGGCTGACAGCAGTTAACTTATTAATTGGTTAACGCATAAATAGAAACGAATTAACGCATTAACACACTGTGATGTCATATATGCATATTCGGCCCAAAAATCATTATACAGACCAATGAAGGAAGCCAATTCATGCAAAATAACATCCAGAGACCAAAGTGTCACTGTCGCTTTAGTTATGTCTGCTGGATCGCGCGTTTCCGGCTGTGATAAATTGGTCTCTAGTCTCCGACTCGGAATCAAGGGTATCAATTTCGATTTGTTTTTAAACATATTCCAGTCAATATGTTGGCTATGCAAATAACCATGTTTTAGGAGCTTTCATAATTCATAAAGTTTAAAATTTTAATGTGTTAACCAGTTAACGGAAATGCTCTCAGCCCTGTTGCTATCCCAAGACCTTTTGTTTACTTCCAGACAAAGACCACAAAAATATGACTGCTATAAATGACAATTCTCTGTTCAGTAAAAATTATAACATTATCATGATAAATCATTGTTCACTGCAACCCTTAATATGTTAATCGTGTTTAAATGATCAACAACTGTTAAAGTTAAATTATCCATATCATAACAGGGTTTAAACACAAGCAAGTTTTTTCTTGTGGATGTGGATGTGGAGTATAATTTACAAATATTGCATATTATTATTCACAGATATTGCATAGTGGTGATCCATGCATGAATATATATCATATATGAAGAGATAATATCACTACATACTTTATAATATTAAACTCTTTAGTATTAAATGTGGAGGACTTTCAATAGTCAGCTGATTCTAATGTAAACTGTCAAATACATAGCTGACTGATCATAACAAAAGCTGACTGATTATAACAAAAGCTGACTGATTATAACAAAAGCTGACTGATTATAACAGCTGACTGACTGATTATAACAAAAGATCTAACTCTTCTAGGCAATTGTCTGAATGATTGAGATCCAATTTAGTTACTATTTGAAACTGACAACTTAAATATGGAATGATCTATAGACTTGCCTGCTAGTTGTATAGGACCTATAATTGAGGGCACCTGCGAGGTTGACAACGAATAACCTAAACGAATACATAAGGTAACATTGTACTGGTCAGTCCTGCAATCACAGTCCAATGGGAACCCAGCTTGAAAAATGCTGAGATTCTTCTTAATGGTATAGGATCTACTTGATTGAGTTTACAAAATCACATGTATTATGTAGTTTAGAGCTAGTGGGATAGGATTTAAGCAACAATTAAACATACAGTAGGCCAATATACAAAATTATACAATAATATAAAATGGTGGATCATATACAATTATGGTACAAAATATCTACAATAAATACAAATTACATTGTTTATATATTTGACAAGAAAAATTGCACTTTTTAAATATTGATATCACATACAAACTGGCGATCCCTCGTCAGTCATTCGTCAGTTTGGATCTACTTTTACTTTCATCAACTAGATTGCAGACCTTGGGAACATAATTCATACCATCATTACCACCTTTGTTTATCTATGTAAGCATTAACAGTGTAAAATTTACACACATATTAGACCTTGGAGAAAAAGTATGCAAAAAGAACCAACCTAGCAATCTTTTATCGGAATTCTGTCTGCTAGTTTGCTCAATTTTCTCTACGAAACATGATTTATTTAAGAATTTACCAAGATATTACCTACAAGAAACAAATTAGACAAAACAAGAGAAATCCGAAAAAGTTATAGATTTCATTATTTAAGCTAATGATGGCATATCTGACTAGGCAAATATAGCCAGCAACTTTTCGGTATACAATTACTTTTGATGTCATTCGTTTAAACACTTTCTGTTGAGACTTATTCCTATTCAGCCCTGACACAGATATAATAGAGAGGTATTCCTCCTTCTTTCACTCCATTCTGGTGTAATCTATGATTTATTCATCCTTCCATCACTCCTGTCTAATAGGATCTATGGACTGTAAAGCTGTGTTCTGTCTGTCTATCTCCTCCAGGTCTATAGCACGTGACATACGATGTGAATTATCTGTGGGGGTGAGGAGGTAACGGGCCTGTAGCTCCTCAACGTAATCTTTGATCAGGTGGGCAATTTGAGATGCCTGAAAATATAAAGATACATTTATAAAAATACAGGTATAGTTATAGTTGGTCAGGTGTAGCAATAGTTAGCCAGGTGTAGCTATAGTCAGTCAGGTGTAGCTATAGCCAGACAGGTGTAGCTATAGTTAGTCAGGTGTAGCTATAGCCAGACAGGTGTAGCTATAGTCAGTCAGGTGTAGCTATAGCCAGACAGGTGTAGCAATAGTTAGCCAGGTGTAGTTATAGGCTAGTCAGTCAGATGTAGCTATAGCCAGACAGGTGTAGCTATAGTTAATCAGGTGTAGGTAGTCATAAGGCACAAGAGAAATGTGACTGTCATTAAACTTTTCAAAATTCAAATTCTTGGACAACAGTTTGCTAGGCTTACAAAATTTAAACTCTTGCACTACAACTTGGTAAGCTTTCAAAGTTCAAACTCTTGCACTAGATCTAGGTAGACTTTCAAAATTCAAACTCTTGCACTAGGCTTTGATGCTTTCAATATCCAAACTCTTGCACTAGAGCTTTTTAGACTTTCAAAATTCAAACTCTTGCACTAGGCTTTCATGCTTTCAATCTCCAAACTCTTGCACTAGAGCTTGGTAGGCTTTCAAAATTCAAACTCTTGCACTAGGCTTGGTAGACTTTCAAAACATTCAAACATTTTCAGTATTTTCCCTTTAATCTTCGTCATACATAATGAATCATAGTCAATCGATTATTACACGTCTGTCAGTTGATTTACTTAACATTGGTAAAATCGCTTTCCGTTGACCATAAATTACGGTTTATTTGCAGTAGTAAAATTTGTCTATAAATGATTAACAACTAATAACAAACTGACTTCACCAATAATAAATTCAATAAGATGGCTAATATCAATATTATCATTGTAAGGCAGGACTGTCAACATCAATCAATTAACGAGGCAAGTCAAACATTGTTTTGTTTGTTGTCAATTACGCGATTATTTTAATAGTAAACGACCATCTGTCCAGGTGACTTCATTGTTTTAAAATGGCCCAATAAATCATTAATAGTTGTTGGTCGTTACAGATTTATTCCCCTTGAGAATCCGGAAAATAATTATCTATTTGACACAGACAGAAATGTGGCTTATGTTTAACTTCCACACAACACAAACTAAGTAATTTTGGGACAAACATATGGAGAGAGAGAGAGAGAGAGAGAGAGAAAGAGAGAAATGAGGTTTAACGTCTACTTGACACAAACTAGGTCATTTCAGGACTAACATATGGTTTAATTTTATTTCAATAATTCGTTTGCATGTAGGGGTCTTTAGCAGTGACAGGAAACCCACGAGGTTGAACAGGCGACCCTACTTCTTGTCACGTATAATCGTGGGTTCGAAACCACGCCAGTTGACTCAATGACAGGCTTTATGATACAGCACACACGTGCTAACCATTCGGCCATCTCCCCCTCCCCCAAAAAAACCATATGGTTCACCCATATTTTCCTAATTCGCTTTTGCATAGTGGTCTTTAGTTGTGGAAGGAAACCAGCCAACCAAAGATAAACCCACGAGGTAGAAGCATGGGCTCAAAACCACTCCACCCGAATTGACAGACAGACCTTTTGATATAAGCGTACAAATCCGCTAATGAAAACGGCAAACACCATGCATTATGCTCTAAAAGAGATTTTGCCTGGGTAGTGGAATTCACGCCTACTCTTCTTCCCGACAAGGGATCTTTATGTGCACAACAATGTCTGTACTTGGGTTTCCATCTTCATTAGCCCATTCCTTTTTATTTCAATTCTCTCCTCATAAGACCCAGTTAAAAACCTTAATGATCTTACTTCCTATGTTATTGAGAAAAACAAATCAAATAAATGTTCGTAGTTTTTCTCCGCGTAATTTTTCAGAAGTACATTTTAAATGTTATTGAACAAATCATTCAAACAATCAATTGACAAAGATACATTCTAAAATATTTAAACCATTTTTTTTTCACCCCCATCAATTGTCCTAATTAGGATAACTGTCCTCGTTTATTACCTTGATAAATTTCTCTATCAAATTTGATGACACAGCAGATTTCCAGAATCTTGCTATTAAATCTAAAGTACAAGAACTAATTGATGACATTATGTGACATTTCACAATGAAAACATAATGCGTAGATTTTACGATGCCAATTGGGCTATTTTATGGGATGATGTTTTTATCACTTATTGAATACGAGAGGTTCAAGTGCAAGTATGTGATAAATATTCTGTGCCACAACAGAAGTACTGCTGAATATAGGGACACTATATATTACGCATATTACTAATCTTCCATAATAATTGATTGGGGCAGAGAGAGAGAGAGAGAGAGAGAGAGAGAGAGAGAGAGATTTTAGCACCCACTCACCACAAACTACGCCCACACACCACAAACTAGGTCATTTCAGGACTAGCACACAAAGTGTAATTTCAATAATTTCTTTTGCATAGTAGGGGTCTTTAGTAGTGGGAGAAATGGGGTTTAACATCCACTCGACACAAACTAGGTCATTTTGGGACTAACATACGGTTCAATTTTATTTCAATAATTCGCTTGCACGTAGGGGTCTTTAGCAATTGGAGTAAACGGAGGACCCGGAGTAAACCCACAAGGTTGGACAGGCGACCCTACTCCTTGTCACGTACAACCGGGAAATCTAAAACACGCCAGTTGACTCAATGACAGACCTTATGATACAACGCCATCCAACCCCGACAATACAAAGACTTCATCAAAATAAAAAAGTCCATAAAAACGTATTCAAATATAAAACAAATTATAGACCTTATGATACAACGCACACACACGCTAACCATTCGGCCATCCAACCAAAGACAATACAAGGAATTTATCAGACCCTCTCCCCTTCCCCTCTCTCTCTCCATACACACACCCGTTTTAGATTTGGCTTACGTTTTTTTCTTGCCCTCTACCCAGATCTTTAGGCATACCGGCTCTCCTTACCACGGGATAGGCCTTTTTTCTTTTTTTTTCAAAAAACCCGGGTACAAATCCTAAACCCGGTAAAATACCAAACCCTGGTATTATAAACCAAGGTAAACCCCGCCAAAAATAAAACCCCAGTAAAATAAATAGAACCTCATTAAGTGAGATAAATCAGTCTGAAGACTTCAATTCTGAACGAAACTAGTAACTGCTAAAAGGTTGTAACTGGTGAAATCACCCATCTCTATCTACCTAAGGACTTTATCAAATCAAAAAAGTCCAAAAAACATATTCAAATATAAAACAAATTATATGTTATGCATGTGTAGAGAAAATTGAATTTTATGGGTAATAAGACGTTTTTTTTCAAAGGTATTACAAATTGTATAAATGCATGAGAAACATCAATAATCTATAACAATCACGACCATGTAACATCTTTGGTGTTTTTTTTCTTCTATGCAATCCGAATAATCTAATTCTGTTATTACCCACACAAATAACTTCTAACAGATTTATCCACATTCAAATTCACAAAATAATTATCTTATCAGAATTTAAATAAATGTATTTGAAGAAAACAATTTTTTTATTTAATAGGCTTTTCAAAGAAACTGCAAATTTTACAGCAGATTGAATTACATGTGGGGGTTTAAGTAATTACATGTACATGAATTAATAAGATTATTTTTTTTTACATGTTATGTATAAACTTATAAAAATCGGAATTAAAGGAGAGAGAGAGAGAGAGAGAGAGAGAGATGGGTTTAACGGCCACTCGATACAAACTAGGTCATTTCGGGACTAACACATGGTTCAATTTTATTTCAATAATTCCCTTGCGCGTAGGGGTCTTTAGCATTGGGAGGAAACCGGGGGACTCAGAGAAAACCCACGAGGTTGGACAGGCGACCCTACTCCTTGTCACGTACAACCGGGGAATCGAAACCCCGCCAGTTGACCTGAATTAAAGGAGCTATTGGTCCTAATTTTGTAGGAACATTACTGACATAAATTTAAATACGGCATAGGAATTAAATAATATGAAAAATAACGAGGTGCACCTATTTGTTTTATAAATAAGAATTTGAACATTTTGTTAACACGTGATTTTTGTGTGTGGTCTAAAACTGCCTGCTTAAATAACGATAAGAGTTATGTCCCTTTATTTTCGATAAATTTTGTAATTCCAACACTGGTTTAAATCAACATTGATGTTGTTATCTTACCGTGAAAAGTTGGGCTTCTGATATCCAATATTTAAGACAAAAAGAAATTTTTTAAATTGGCACACGAATCGCTTGCCAGAATGCTTTTGAGTGCCATTTGTATGAAGCCACACAATGAACGAGGCTAAACGTATCCCACGTCAGAGAATATTACGTATTTTGACTAACATAACTGATTAAAAATTACAGTAAAACAGAAACGATTGAATGTAAATAGAGAATCTCCTACCAGTCTTTTTTGATATCAAAAAATATCAACACAAGTTGATAAAGTAACAAAAAACGAGAGAGAGAGTGAGAGAGAGAAATGGGGTTTAACGTCCACTCGACACAAACTAGGTCATTTCGGGACTAACATACGGTTTAATTTTATTTACATAATTCGCTTGCGCGTAGGGGTCTTTAGCAGTGGGAGGAAACCGGAGGACCCGGAGAAAACCCACAAGGTTGGACAGGCGACCCTACTCCTTGTCACGTACAACCGGGGATTCGAAACCACGCCAGTCGACTCAATGACAGACTTTATGATACAGCGCGCACACGCTAACCATTCAGCCATCCAACCCCCCCAACAAAAAACGAGGCTCTGATATTTTTTGATATCAAAAAAGACGAGTAGGAAATTTTATTTATCACCCAATCCCTTCTTACATGCACAAATAGATAAATATAGTTCTTTGCTGTAGATTTCACTTTTACTGAACGTAGTGATACATCATTTTTTGACAGCTATTCAACCATTGCAAAGTCCTTTATATTGACCTAGTGTTTCCATCAAGGTCAACTGAATAACAATGGTTCATTTTTAATAAAAAAAAAAGTTACTTTTAATAAGAAATGAAATGTTCTTTGAAAATAAAAAAAAGTAGTTCCTTTTCAACTAACCAATCAAATTCATGTAAAGCGATATTATGAAATATATCACACAAGCAATATCTACTGTAGAATGTATTATTGGGTGATAAATCAGTTTATATACATTCATATTACATTATTATATGCGTTGCGACTCATTTGTGTCCTTTCTAGGTGCAAAGAATAGCAATTTAGCTCCTTTAAAGCAGTAATTATAGGAAATCGCTGAAAATCAAAAGGCTTCTTCGTCTCATGACCTTAAACACTGTGTATAAATTTAAAGTCAATCGGATATTAACTTTGACCTCGAGAGCGTCCACAAGATTTTTCAAAGTGATCAAGGGCCATAACTCTGGAAGTAATTATCGCAAATCGCTGAAAATCAAAAGGCTTTTTCGTCTCATGACCGTAAACACTGTGTATAAATTTAAAGTCAATCGGATATTAACTTTGACCTCTAGAGCGTCCACAAGATTTTTCAAAGTGATTAAGGGCCATAACTCTGGCAGTAATTATCGGAAATCGCTGAAAATCAAAAGGCTGCTTCGTCTCATGACCTTAAACACTGTGTATAAATTTAAAGTCAATCGGATATTAACTTTGACCTCCAGAGCGTCCACAAGATTTTTCAAAGTGATTTTAAGGGCCATAACTCTGGCAGTAATAATCGGAAATCCCTGAAAATCATTAGGCTTCTTCGTCTCATGACCTTAAACACTGTGTATAAATTTAAAGTCAATCGGATATTAACTTTGGCCTCTAGAGCGTCCACAAGATTTTTCAAAGTGATCAAGGGTCATAACTCTGGCAGTAATTATCGGAAATTGCAAACCAGCGGCTGCCAGGCAGGATATGCCCACATTTTCGAAGGTGGATAGAGAACAAGCTAACAAGAAAGTGATTTTTCCTACAATCAAGGGCCATAATTCAGGAAATTACAATTCGATATGCGCATATATCGAAAGGAACTGAACGAACGGCAGCCATTTTGTCTGTCAATTTTGGGCTGATTTTCACGAAATCCGAACTCAATCGTCCTCAGGGTGTAACGGTGATATAATAATACGGTTTTTTAAATCGGATAAAAATTATGACTTCTATAGGGTCCACAAGCTAAAAACTTGATTTTTCGTACAATCAGGGGCCATAATACAGGAAGTTACTGTCCGATATGCGCAAATATCGACAGGGACTGAGATCTTTGGGTTATAAACTTACATTTCAAGTTTCAACAAAATCGGATAAAAATTGTGACCTCTATAGGGTCCACAAGCTAAAAATGTGATTTTTTTGTACAAACAGGGGCCATAATCCATGAAGTTTCGATCCGATACATGCCAATATCGAAAGCAGTCGAGATCTTTTGGGGATAAACCTATATTTCAAGTTTCGTCGAAATCGGATTAGAATTGTGACCTGTAGAGAGTCCACAAACAATTGTGGACGGACGGACGTCCGGACGGACAGGGGCGACGGCATAATACGTCCACATGAAAATGTGGGCGTATAAAAATCAATAGGCTTCTTTGTCTCATGACCTTAAACACTATGTATCAATTTAAAGTCAATCGGATATTAACTTTGGCCTCTAGACCGTCCACAAGATTTTTTGAAGTGATCAAGGGCCATAACTCTAGCAGTAATTATCGGAAATCGCTGCAAATCAATAGGCTTCTTCGTCTCATGACCTTAAACACTATGTATCAATTTAAGATCAATCGGATATTATCTTTGGCCTCTAGAGCGTCCACAAGATTTTTTGAAGTGATCAAGGGCCATAACTCTTGCAGTAATTATCGGAGATCGCTGAAAATCAATAGACTTCTTCGTCTCAAGATCTTAAACACTGTGTATAAATTTAAAATCAATCGGATATTAACTTTTGCCTCTAGACGGACAGACAACAATATACGACCACATTTAAATGTCGGCGTATAAAAATGGAGATTAGCTCTTAACACAGCTAGTATATATATAGAGAGAGAAATGGGGGTTAACGTCAACTCGACACAAACTAGGTCATTTCGGGACTAACATATGGTTCAATTTTATTTCAACAATTCGCTTGCACATAGGGTCTTTAACAGTGGGAGAAAACCCACGAGGTTGGACAGGTGACCCTACTCCTTGCTACGTACAAGCGGGGAATCGAAACCACAAAGTTGACTCAATGATGCAACGCGCACACATTAACCATTCCCCCCAGAGCTAGTATATATATGTGAAAATTAAAATGTCGAGGGAAGAAACACAGTATTATGCGGCTAGTCGTTTCAGTTCTATTGCAACAGTATCAGGCCTTTAATACACTCCATTAATCATTACATAACACATATATACATAAAAAAAAAAAAATTGTCCATTTAAAAAAATCCACTACTTTCACTTTATCATTGAAATATACATCACATAATAAACTAGCTGTCTGCCCTTAATTGAACTTCTTCAGATCTTATAACGCATCAATAAATTTTAGAAGATTTATTACAAATTGTTTCTCGTTTTTAGAGTACGTTTAATACATCGCTCTATTATAATTATATAAGTTGATCTATTGTTTCTTTCAATATAGACTCCACCAAAACGCACAGCCCATTTTTCATCATTTTTTAATTTGAATGGCATCGTTCTTTCCATAAATCTTACTTGTTTTTAATGTCATTATGTAAGGATAAAACTAATTGTGACTGGTTATACTTTTTGCCAAAATTTGTTTCCCTTAATTGCACCAAGACACATGAGTTTAACAACTTCGCAAGCTATTCGCATGAAACCTAAATCTTTAAAATCCTGCGGCTCTCAATTTCAATATCAGTTGTACATGTAAACATTCAACGAACCAAGTGATGCTACCAAGGTACCGATAGCGAAGTTCAACACGTGACCGCCCAAGCTCAAGCCAAACAAGAGTGACCCCACATGCCCAAGATTGTCACATGCAGTTACGTTATTTGCGGAAACGGTTCTCAATAGCGACCTCTACTGCAGCAGCAATTCCTGGTCGACGCAGGATCTCAGACCAGACAGTCCATGTCTACATGAAACCAGATTATAAGCCAGGTAGAGCTGCTGTTTTGAAATACGCCGACATCAATGGGTTCAGACACAGAGGGTATGGCCACAGCAACACTGGAGAATAGTTTGGTTCGGCGACATGTCACAGTTCCCGTTGCAACAAGGCCATGGTAGAGCATGAGTATACCAACGACGAAATGTCACTATGCGTTTTATTTTTTGAAGAGCATATTTAAGAGAAAAAAACAGAGTCATTAATCTATAATGCATCCATCCCAGCATGGATTCAGTAGTGACATGAAGTGAAGCCTTGAATTTTGCTTTACCTTATCAATATCAATCATGGAAATACACCAACAACAGCTTTGTCTTTTACAAAAAAAAATATCCATATCAGAGAGAGTTAGTTTATCGTTCACTCGACACAAACTAGGTCATTTCGAGACTAACACATGGTTCAATTTTATTTCAATAATTTGCTGGCGTGTAGGGGTCTTTAGCAGTGGGAGGAAACCGGAGGACCTGGAGAAAATCCACAAGGTTCGACAGACGACCCTACTCCTTGTCACATACAACCGGGGAATCGAAACCACACTAGTTTACTCAATGACAGACATATTGATACAGCGCGCAAGTGCTAACCATTCGGCCATCCAACCCTCCATACCATAGATAACATTCTAGTTAAACCAAAAGGAAAGAGTAGAAAAGCTTGTAGGTAATACAAGGATTTACAAGACACTAAAAAGTGATCAAGAGTATCAACCTATGAAGTAATCACCAGAAAAAAATGGAAATCTATAAATGTGAAGTAGCCATCCCAAATTTCTCTCATGAAGCTACAAGTTTCGCTCTTATGCAAACTTTTTGCGGATAAGTGAGATTGTATGTGGCTGTTCCTTTGTTCAGCCTACTAGTTCTGTCTAGTTCTAGTTCTTATCATCTTATCAGGACATGTATTAGCTTTACCTGATTGGTTGAGACATCTATTAGATCTACCTGATTGGATGAGACATGTTTTAGCTCTACCTGATTGGTTGAGACAACTATTAGCTCCACCTCATTAGTTGAGACATGTATTAGCTCTACCTGATTGGTTGAAACATGTATTAGCTCTACCTGATTGGTTGAGACATGTATTAGCTCTACCTGATTGGATGAGACATGTTTTAGCTCTACCTGATTGGTTGAAAAATGTATTAGCTCTACCTGATTGGTTGAGACATGTATTAGCTCTACCTGATTGGATGAGACATGTTTTAACTCTACCTGATTGGTTGAGACATGTATTAGCTCTACCTGATTGGATAAGACATGTATTAGCTCTACCTGATTGGATAAGACATGTATTAGCTCTACCTGATTGGTTGAGACATGTATTAGCTGTAACTGATTGATCGAGACATGTTTTAGCTCTTCCTGGGTAAAATTTTGAATTTAATCCAAATTTATTCAGTCAGATGTATCATTCCTACGATGGTCAAATCTCCTACCCCCCACAATGACTCATTCGCTGACCCAATAACCTACCTTTCTTCTTCCCGCTAATCTTGGGTGAGTGCATTTTGGTGTGAGCAGTTCGAATTGTAGAAGATAACAAAATATTGAAATAAAATAATATTTACGGCAAAAAAAAACAAAACAAACTTCTCAACTCACCTGATTAGTGTTAAACATAAATTTGGTTCCCTTGGCAACATGTCCAATAACTATCATAATACTTTTAATAGCAGGACTAGAATGAGCAATGTCTGAATATTGATAAGCACCCAGAATTCTCTGTAAAATAAATCAAATTAGTTAAACATACATTATGCAAAAGCTAAATCTGCCTATTGCAGGTCTTTCTTTGGGCCTGAAATGTTATCTAAATTATTAATTAAACATTAATTAACTTATCCAGACCATAATCAACTCTCGATGCCATCGCTAGCATTTTTTGCACCCTAATTTGTGCCAAAAAGTGCTCGATTTCATTACTTAAACAGGCATTATGTAAGAGCTAAATCTGCCTATTGCAGGTCTTTCTTTGGGCGTTAAATGTTATCTTAATTATTACTTAAATGTTATCTTAATTATTACTTAGACATTTATTAACAAGACAAGACCATAATCAACCCTCAATGACGTCGAATGGACCCGATTTAAAGTAGCTTAGAACAGTTCGGCCATTTAATGATTTAATTTAAGCGAGGCTAAACCTCAAATGACCAGTATGGTGGTTACGATCAATGCACACATCTTGTCAAAACTACAACCATTGAAAACTTTGCTCAAAATAAAGAAATTTGAATGAAATTTTCAATATATTCATTTTGTGTTATATATTTTTTAAATATTATAGCAAAATGGCCATCTCTTCATCTAAACTTTACATAATGTATTTTTAAATGAAGATCTTTAAAATAATGAAATTGTGAATATTTAGATGATTAATATCATATACTTACAAATGTTTTATTTTCTAATAGATGAATTCCCTTTTCATGAACAGCTAACATCAAACTTTTAGGCAACATGGAAGTATAGGTTTGCTAAAATTAATGAAAGATCATTTTGCTATTAAACAATTCTGATATGAATATTGAAACAAAACAATGAATATTGAAACAAAACAATGGTATCAAAGTCATGAAACTGTTGAAGAGCCTGCTACATTATGGTTGTCATTTATTGATGAGAGGGGTCAGGTACCGACTTAGTCAAGCAGTCAGGGCAGTACTGGGTTCTCAACTAGAATTCCCCCAGGTTTAAAGTTTACCGGAAAAGCTTCAACATTAGCAATTTCTGCCGTTCTCCGTTAGTAGTCGTAAATTTGCACCAATAAACAAGCCAAGACATAATTTTAGTCCTTCTGTTCAAAGAAATATAGACTCAAAGGACCAAAAGTATGTCTTGGTTGTTTTATTGGCGCAAAATTTTGACTACTCGCAGAGAGCAGCGAAAATTTACCAGCTGCAGGTGATATTGATATTCAGGATCATGTTATACTTATGGAAAGGATATGTTGACATAATTACTTGTATTAATATTATTTAAAAAATTTTTGAAGCTTTTCTGGTGATCTTCAAAATCTCTAATAACCATCTTTCGAGTTGGAAAATACTTCTCTGCATCGTTGAACAAATACAATCACTACATTAGTTCATAAATCAACAATGCCATGACAATTCCAATTAATTATTTCACATTTAATTAAGAAAACGAAACAAAGTTTCTAAGTACATGCCAACATATACACAGGACCTCAGTTTTAGATCCTATCCGTATGATTAGTCACTGTCCCTTGTCAGGCCCTCCGTCCTGCACCAATGACAAGGGGAAACCATGCCAGAAAATCTAGAAGAACTTTCTTTGTCAACACTGGGACCAAAGCTGACATCTCCTGGTTAGCTAGCCAGCGTCTTACTTACTGAGCCACCTGATCTGATGTGTGACACTCTACATTGTCCAACAAAATTAGAAAATTAACAAATTTTAGTAACTACAATCTGATTCACACACAGATCCTATTTCGTTTCGTTTTTTATAATTCAAAATTTTGTTTTATTTGTCTGTACTACACTAGGATCTGGAAGAGTTGTTATATAACCTGCGTTCTGGATGCCGTGAGGGATTAGCCAATGAAACCATCTGTTATGGCGACTTCTTGGCATGCGATGCACGGAACTGTGGGTAAACCACTAGAAACGTCAACGCTGATTGATTAATCAATGTCTAACGTCATAGGGTCAAAAGCCATTCGTATGACCTCTGACGTAACCTTTTACTACGACTGTATAGAGATCTCAATTTAAATCATATTTTTGTAATTGTGGCAACCTGAAAAACAATAACGGAATTCTGATATTTAGATCATCTCAGATTTTAATCCAAGGTACGTGTTTTTGTGTTAATTATTATCAAGATTCATCAAAGACTTTTCTTGTTAAATTTAACAATTAATCTCATAATCTTTCCGTTAACCTAGACAAAAAATATAATTCAAAGCAGATCACTGTATTTTTCTTCCTACTGAGTCAAGATATCGTGAGGAAAAAATTAGAAGAATTTTTCGGATGACTGTCTTTTGGTAAATTCAAGACAAAGAAAGTAATTAAAACAGACCAGTGCATTCTTTTTTTGTCTACACAGTAAAATCAATCGTGGCGTGACAAAAACTCATAACTATAACGGAGAGAGAGAGAGAAATATGGTTTAAACTAGGTCATTTTGGGACTAACATATGGTTAATTTTATTTCAATAATTCACTTATGTGTAGGGGTCTTTTTAGCAGTGGGAGGAAACCGGAGGACCCAGAGAAAACCCACGAGGTTGAACAGGCGACCCTACTCCTTGTCACGTACAACCAGGGAATCGCAAACCAAGCCAGTTGACTCAATGACAGACCTTATGAAACAGCGCGCACATGCTAACCGTTCGGCCATCCAACCCGCCTTTTGGGTATTCAAACATCACAATAGTGTAATTTGCAACGTGTTTAAAAAGCCTGAATTGATGATGAGCAGCATTAAGTTTAAGCTGGAGATTAGTCAATATTTAATTACTTTTTGTAACAGGTATATCTTAGCCCTTTATTAATTTCAGAATAATCTAACTTAAAGATACATTCCCGCATACAAACTCGGTGATTTCATGATATATTTGGAATAAAAACACATTCAAACTAATTAATTTTTCATAATTTTGCTTCAAATCCTTCTCAAAACATTGTAATTGTCAGGGAATACCTCTGCTATAAAAAAATCGATCAAAATACGTCATGTTTGTGTCACATGATTTACCTCTCTTGGTACCTAGCAACGGATGCGAGGCCCGAGGGGAATAGATTGCATATACAAGACGATGTTGTCTTTAATCGCTGACTATTTGTCACAAATGTTTTGTAAGCCCAATAAATTCTCGGATTATCCACTGCCCAATATTTTTTTTCCGTGGATTTTAACTCAGAAAATGTTGCACTATCAAGTTTATCAACATATACATCAAACACTCACTAACGCTAGGAGATTAGGCAATCTTAGTGTGCTACCTTTGACGTTACTCGAACAGACATCACTAATTGTCAGGTTGTTGGTTAGGGGAACCCTTACATTTTTGTCCTGTATACGCTCCATGAGTGTTTTTTGGGGACTCCAGTATTTTACTAGTAAGATTGGGCATCTATACTTTCCATATATACCAAAATTGCCATACTTTTATTGGAAATAACCACCCGATAAATACTTTTCTGGGAAGGTATCTTTAACGTTGCATATGAAAAATGATAATCCAAAATATAATCCAAAATGAAAATGGGAAGTATATCTATCTTAACACTTCATTAAAATCAGGATAATCTGGCATAATAAAACATATATCAACCCTTATTTAGATCTTGGATGATCTCGGATTTTATACAGGTTTTTGTTTTCCTAAACCAAATAGATTAATCAGTTTTTTATATAGTCAGCATATAGTTTGATTTCAGATTTTAATCCAAGGTACGTGTTTTGTTTTAATTATTATCAAGATTCATCAAAGACTTTTCAAGTCAAATTTAACATTTAATCTCATAATCTTTCCGTTAACCTAGACAAAAAAATATAATTCAAAGCAGATTACTGTATTTTTTCTTCCTTCTGAGTAAAGATATCGTGAGGAAAGGTCTCGTGAATTTTTCGGATGACTGTCTTTTGGTAAATTCAAGACAAAAAAAGTAATTTAAAAAGAACATGGCATTTTTTTTTTGTCCACACAGTAAAATGAATCAGGAAGAAAACTCTGGATTTCATTAATTCATAAAAAGCAAGAACATCCAGTCTTTGTTAAAGTAGCAATAATCTTATTAATTTATAAGAACCAAGAACGTCCAGTCTTTCTTAAGTAGCAATAATGCTATTAATTTATAAGAACTGTTGCCCAGTCTTTGTTAAAGTAGCAATAATGTTCTTAATTTATAAGAACCAAGAACGTCCAGTCTTTGTTAAGTAGCAATAATGTTATTAATTTATAAAAAGCAAGAACATCCAGTCTTTGTTAAAGTAAACTCAAGAACGTCCTGTCTTAAACATAGTCATCTACAAGCTTATTGAATCTTACAAATCACCACATGTCTCGTGGACATCCGTGCATAATATTCAGTAATGATTTACTTACACCTATTTCGAAAACAGTAGCACCAAACAACGACCAGTTTTTTAAGACATTAATAAACCCGAGAACAGCTTGTTGTGGACTCAGATCTAAAATAGTTTTATGGGTGGTTGCGATATCGTCTATTTTTACAGTTGGTCGTATATCTCTTGGTAAAATTCTCGTCACAGAACTGAAAGATATAAAATATATACTGATTAAAACACAGATCCTATTTCGTTTCGTTTTTTAAAGTTCAAAATTTCGTTTTACTAGGATATGGAAGAGTTGTTATATTACCGGCGTTTTTGCTGAAGCGAGGGATAAGCCAATGAAATGGTCTGTTACGGCGACTTCTTGGCGTGCTATGCACGGAACTGTGGGTAAACCACTAGAAAGGTCAATGCTGATTGATTAATCAATGTCAAGAATTAATCAATCCTTCTCACTGAAGATGGGGCTTGTAATGATACAGGCTTCACTTAATCTTTCAAATGACGTTAAAGACTTGACATTAGGAAACCTACCTGTAGTCTATTTCACCAGATTTCATATCTTCAATCTCGGACTGAACTTTAAAGGCACATAGATGAACCTAAAAATAAATATTCAATATGTGACTCATAAAATACACCTCAACCCCCACTCCCCATACCATGCATGGGACAAAAGTCACAGCTTGCATTTATGATATATGCTGTTCAGATGACCATATATAAATACATGGACTATAAGTGATATTTACTGTAAGAGGTTCAAGTTAATTATGGAATTATCAGACTTGAAATTTACACAAAAACTAATGAAATGGGCATGCACAATAGTAGCTCAATCAAATAATTTTACGTCAAATCATTCTGATGGTCAAAATAGTTAGAGAGCTTGGCTTTTTAAATTGGCTGCGCTCTGACAAGGTTAGGCTAGCTGAAAGATAGAGAGTGTTCTTAACGTAACAATGTGAACGGCATAATATACAGTGATTCTTTTAATGCAGTAGATCCCTAGAATGTGAAATGTGAAATGAAATGTAGTATAACACCCTACTGTTCTGCATACGCCATACAGTGTGCTATGAGGAAAATTTTGCCCGAACAGCGGCACTACGGTCTACTCTTATATTGAATTCCTACAGCCAAGGGATCTTTTATGTGCACGCCAATGTGTACACAGGACCTCAGTTTTTAATCCCATCTCAACAACTAGACAGCTGTCCTTGTGAGGCCCGCCATCCTGCAACGCCGGAAAATCCTGATTAACTTTCTCGGCCAACAAGGGGATTGAACCTGCAACCTCCAGGTTAGCGAGCCAGCGTCTTACTCACTTAGCCACCGTGGCTCCAATATAAAAATGAAATGGTGTTTAAAATCCTACTTTTCTGTACCAACCGAGAGAGTGAAATGGGGTTTATCTTCCACTTAACTCAAACTAGGTCATTTCGGGACTTACATATGGTCATCCAACCCCCTGTACCAATCAAGCTAATGAAGACGGACATAGTGGTGTTTCCAACCTCTCTTCATCTTATTCGAACTGTCAACAGTTCTTTACCCTGAATACCACTGTGTACACAAGTGGACCTCATTTTTGTCCCTTCCAAACAACTAGATGCTTTCTTTCTCGCCAGGCCCTCTATCTGGACTCACTTTCAAGAGGGAACAAAGAACTTTACCCCAGAACATAAATAATAATACTTACTGCATCTTGCATTGAAAGAGGAACTCTTTGTTCAAACACGGATTCGATGAGCTGATTAAACACCAGATCACATTCTACTGGGTCATTGGGGTTTAAATATGGCTCAATAAACAAACGTTTCTGAAACAAAAAAAATATTATAAATAATCTTTATTCCTAAAAGGTCATTCTGTATCAAAACTTATAGCCAGTGTTGTTTATCTAAATCAGGGATTCACAACCAGTGGGCCAGAGATCTTCCTAAGTGTGCCGCGAAATTTTGAACGGCACACTACGAAAATGCGAAAAACCATGTGATCCCAAGTAAGTATTCATAGCTTGAGTCATTTATCTTGAGTCATTCTATGTGTCTATGACTAGTTTGTGTCTATGACTAGTCTGAGTCTTGCCATGTTTTTATTTTGCAAAATTCAGAGAGTTTACTCGTCCACTGACACAAAAGGTCTTACATAATGCATCTTTCATACAGGTATTTCACTGTATTTTTATGAAATGAATGGATTTTTATGTAATGACTGGATTTTTATGTAATGACCACTATGTGTCTAAGCATATCCAAGAATAAAAAAAACCTTCCAGAAGAATTTCCGAATTACAAATGAATTACAGACAATTCTATTACCCAGATCTTCTTATAAAATTACATTTGTATAACAAAAGAGCAAAATCTATGTTTTGATGAAAAAAATTTGATATTCATTTTTTTTTTTTTTAATATACTAGAAACGTGCAAGTTAGGGTAGGCCTTTATCAACATAATAAAAAAAGCAAAATCCATGTTCTAAAAAGAACAAAGCCCATATTTAAAATCTTGAATCTTCTTATTCTTTTATATTATTACACATGCAACTAGTTACCTGTAGAGTTTAACTAAAAAGTATGTGGGCCGAGAATTAAAATAAAACTACCTATCATCAGGTACAATTCATGTATTAAAGATAATTTTTATTCTACAAGGGATTAATTTTTACTGTTTTATTAAATATAAATCCTTGACCCAATTCATTTTGTTACAATAACAAACTTTATCCCGACTTGTTTTAATTATATTTTGCCATTTAGAGTGCTGACAGTTTCAATTAACAAAGATTTACAACAAAAAATCTCTATGAAGTTGGGTGCACATGGATTAAAAACATTTTCAAGTCCTGTCTCAAAGAATCTGGATGAACAGAAATTGAGAAAAATATTCTTAAAGATGCTTTATGTAAGAATTTGTCATTCTAGCTATAAAAGTTAACAAGCGATTGCCATGCAAGATACACCCACATTTTGCACGAGATGAACAGAGAACAAACTAATACAGCAATTTTTTGTCGTAATGGTTCAGTTTTATTTCAAAAATTTGCTTGTGCACAGGGGTTGTTAGTGGTGGGAGTAAACAGGAGGACCAGGAGAAACCCACAAGGTTAGACAGGCAACCATACATCTTGTCACGTACAAGCGTGAAATCGAAACCACGCCACTTGACTCAATGACAGACCTTCTGATCCAACGCGCACACATTAACCCTTCCGCCACCCAACCCCCGAGCTCCTAATTAAAGTAAATGCATGAGTTCATCTTTAATTTAGGGTTAAAAGAGAATGATGTCAGTAATGAGATTTAGCTAGAATTAAGAATTTAATGAGATTACTTTATTAATTCTGTCTGGTAGGCACACTGAATCTTTTCAGGTGAGTCTTTTTATAAAACTTTTGATTTAATTTGAGCTCAAATTAAATCAATTGTTTGTTAAGAGAATTAAATTCCTTACAGGTACAACAAGTCAAATGGTGAATATATATCTCAAAATTCAAAAATAGGTATCATTTGAGAGAGAGAGAGAGAGAGAGAGAGAGAGAGAGAGGGAGAGAGATGGGGTTTAACATCCACTTGACACAAACCAGGTCATTTCGTGACTGACATAGGGTTCTACTTTATTTCAATAACTTGCTTGCGCATAGGGGTCTTTAGCTGTGGGTGGAAACCGGTGGACCTGGAGAAAAATCACGAGGTTAGACAGGCGAACCTACTCCCTGTCACGTACAACCATGGAATCGAAACCATGCCAGTTGACTCAATAACAGACCTTATGATACAGCACACACTAACCATTCGGGCATCCAAACCCTCCAAAGGTTGGAGGACAGAGAAAGAGCGCCAGAGATTGTATCTTACCTTAAAGACAAGTCTTAATTCTTTTACAGCACCACTTCTTGCTAATCTCTCCCATTTACTGAGAGTATCTGATAAACGTTCTTCACAGGACATCGCTCGTTCTGATCCACTCATATATTCATACAGAGCAAAACATTCAGCATCTGATCTCATACCAATCTTGGCTTTAATCGTCTTAATAACCTAAAAATAGACAGAGATATATGGGAAACTTGAACTGATTGGGAGAAAAGGTGAATTTTAGTCGATATGCGTGGGAACAGGAAATTTGGTAGGGAGCTATACAAGCTTAAACTGAACAAGAACAGGGAATTTGAACTGATCGTTAACAGGGAATTTGAATTGGTAGGAAGCCATACGAACTTGAACTGATCGTGAACAGAGAATTTGAACTGGTAGGGAGCTATAGGAACTTGAACTGATCGTGAACAGAGAATTTGAACTGGTAGAGAGCTATAGGAACTTGCATTGATAGGGATATAAGAAACTAACAGGTAGGGAGATGGGAATTTGAACTGATATCAGGAGATGGAAACATGAACTGATATAGGGAGATAAGGAATTGAACTGGTAAGGAAATGGGAATTTGAACTGATATGGAGATATAGAAAACTGAACTGATAGGAGGTGGTATGGGAACTTGACATAAGAATATGGGAACTTGAACTGACAGAGAACAATATGAGAACGACAGCACCTACCTCTCCACAACTAGCAGAAGAATCAAACTCTATAACACGACTTTCACCGGTCATAAAAAATACTTTCTCTGTGATGGGTTTCCTGTTAAAAAAAATAATACCAATAATAATTCATTGTTTTCTATTTTTGGCTAGTGATATCAAAAAAAGTCTCCTTAAATTGCTCTACATTAAAAAGTTCTACAAGTTTGGACTAAGTGGAAGATTTGGTAAATAAGGAGATTTATATCAAAATAAAATGAATGTCCAACTGTTCTATTCGTAAACTCGACTAATGAAGATGGGCATACGCCATACAGTGTGCTATGAGGGAAATTTTGCCCAGGCAGCGGCACTATGGCCTACTCTTATATGAAATTCCAACTGCCAAGGGATCCTTTACATGCACCCCAATGTATACATGGGACCTCGGTTTTCTATCCCATCTGAACGACTAGACAAGATTTATATCATAAGGGAAGTATTTCCTTTCATTCATAAAGTAGAGGTACGTAAGAGTACAAGATTTAGAGTCTATAATAGCCAGGACGTCAATCATATAAAATAAAATTCGAAAATTGTGGGGAACCATTTTCAGCTGTATGTTCTTAAGGTTCATAGAATCAAGGGCAGATAATCTGAATTTGTGAAAACCTTAAGGATAGACATGGAGGTTAGTGGAGTAGAACGCTCAATACCACTGGGAATACCATAATGCTGTCTTCTATAAGTATGACATGTTACAGATTATCACCTTATCCTGTTACCAGTAAATGTCTCTAAAAGGTTATCATTTTTGTTGTTTATTTTTAAAGTGAAACAGAAAATTACCTGTGAATTGTACATTCAACTTCTCTACTTGATGGTGGAAATTTTCTTCGTTTCTTCTCTAATGTTCTTGAAAGACACTGAATCCAAATATAACAAAAAAACACATTAAGGGGGGATAACTCTTGTATTGGGTCACCACTTTACCATTGTTAGGTACTAGTTCATTTCTGCTTAACACTTTGTCAGATACAACTAAAATAATTTTCTCTAGGCCACGAACCAGACAAGAATGTCACTTTAAAGTGGCATATGTAAAAAAGTGGTATGTGTACAAAAGTGGCATAGGTACAATTTTCTCCCGGCCTCCGAGCAGACAAGAGTATCACTTTAAAGTGACATATGACAAAAGTGCCATATATACAATTTTCTCCAGGCCTCGGAACAGACAAGAATGTCACAGTAAAGTGGCATATGTACGAAAGTGGCAAATGTACAATTGCATAATTAATATTTACTTTCCCCGAGTGGTTTGAGTAATTAACAGACTAATTATTTCATCAACACCTTTTGGAAAAATAAACAGTAATAAACCTGATACAGATTATCTAATCCAGACGAACAATTTTAACCTATGCGACGGTAGGAACCCAATATTTTTTGATGATTTTCAAATCTCTATGAATTTTAACAGTTGCCAACGTTTGAATATGGAAACAGCACAACTACACGATGATACCCAATTTGTAGTGTAAATGACTGGACTATATACTTTACTTATTCTCACAGTCATATATGACAACGGCTGCACACATAGGCTATTACAACATGTTATAGTTTTGGACCTTCAGAAGACAAATCTACACTTTACCATGACAACGGAAGTCCACGGCTACACACATTACAACATCTTATAGTTTTGGATCTACAGAAGACAAATCCACCATGACAACGGAGAGAGAGAGAGAGAGAGAGAGAGATAGGGTTTAACGTCCACTCAACACAAACTAGGTCATTTCGGGACTAACATATGGTTTAATTTTATTTCAATAATTCGCTTGCGTGTAGGGGTCTTTAGCAGTGGGAGGAAACCGGAGGACCCGAAGAAAACCCACGAGGTTGGAGAGGCGACCCTACTCCTTGTCACGTACAACCGGGGAATCGAACCCACGCCAATTGACTCAAAGATAGGCCTTATGATACAGCCCACACGTGCTAACCATTCGGCCACACCCCCACCCCCATGACAACGGAAGTCCAGCACTGCACACATATGCAACTGATTACTATACATAAATATAAAGGTCATGAATATTCATGTTAACACTATCCGCTTATTCTAAAAAAACTTAATAACCAGAGATCCTAATCTTCTGTTTATAATCGGTCACATCCATTTGATGTTTCACCTTAAAACCAATATACTGACTCAATACATACTTTGTAACAAAATCTGGCATATTTTCCTTCTTCCGTTGTGGCATCCATGGAACATTTCTTGAGATGAACTTGAAGATATTTGAGTACTCTGTTGTTAGGTGGAGCCAGTGTACACGTAGTAACGGCCATTAACTGCCAACTTCTTTTATTTACATAACTATTTGGATCTAAAAATAGAATATAATCATGTGATTAGTTCGAGTCAAAATGGTTCCTTTTATACTTTGTTACATAATGAGAGAGCAAGAAATGGGTTTCAATGTCTCAATACAAATTAAATGAATCGGGGCTAACATATGTTACAATTTTATTTCAATAATTTGCCTGGGAGAGTGTGCGGCTAAAGAGAGAGAGAGAGAGAGAGAGAGAGGGAGAGAGTTTAATGTCCACTCGACACAAGCTAGATCATTTTGGGACTAACACATGGTTCAATTATTATTTCAGTAATTCACTTGTGCGTACGGGGGGGTCTTTAGCAGCCGTTGGCAACCAGAGGACCCAGAGAAAACCCACGAGGTTGGACAGGCGACCCTACTCCTTGTCACGTACAACCGGGGAATCGAAACCATGCCCGTTGACTCAATGACAGACCATTCAACCATCCAACCCCCAATTCACTTGGGATATTTTGAGCTGAGACTAAAACTAATAATTGTTTTAATATGCACTCGGCAATTTTTCATTTCATCACTAAGATACCACTTCAGACACTAGTGTATAGTTTTCACAAGATGCGAAGAGAAACAACATTTGGAAATTCTCATCAAATTGTGAAGTGAGGGGAATGGGGGAGAATGGGGGAAAAAGGGGTGCAAGGTTTGTTTTCGATGCAAGTGCCTATATTTAAAACACATCCAAACATTTATCATCAGAATCCAGGACAAAATGCCCACAGACAAAATGGCAGAAACACAATGATACATTTACCACTATGTCCGTGGGGATTTTGTACTGTGACATTTTGTCCATATCCTATATATCATAAAATACAAATTCATTTAAAAACAACATAAGGTAACACCACATTTAAAATCTTAATACACTATACTAGATTTCCTTTAAAAAAAACTCCAGTGCATGAAGAATCCAGAAGTTGTAATTTCAGGCATTTCTAATATAACATTGCATTTTACTTTAGGTCTAAATACAACGTGAGTGAGTGCAGCTTGCAAAAATGTGCCACCATTGCCACTACATATAAATCATTTTAGCTGAAATTTCTAAACTTTCTATTTTGAAAGATTTTTATTGTATTACCACCAATATTGAAACTGTCGTGGGATTACAAGATTCCATTGAAAGCAAGAGAGAGAGAGATAGGGTTTAACATCCACTGGGCATAAACTAGGTCATTTGTGCACTAACATATGGTTCAATTTTAGTTCAATTATTTTCTTGCATATAGGGATTCTTAACATTGGGAGAAAACCGTACCATCTGAAGGACTACACGTCCCTTACCTGACCTTCTGTCCTGCACCACTGACAAATGGGAACCACACCAACGCAAGGATCGAACATGGGATCTTTAGATTAGTGAGCCGTCTTACTCACTGAGCCACCATGACTCCCAGCATGATATGAGTGAAATTTTCTACTGTCAGGGAATCTGCCGAATGAAATGAAATGGGGTTTAATGGCCTACTGTTCTGCTCCAACTGGGCTAATGAAGATGGACATAGACCATTCAATGTCCTATGAAAGAAATTTTGCCTGGGCAGCGGCACTATGGCCTACTCTTATTTCGAATTCCAACTGCCAAGGGATCTGTTGCGAGCATGCCAAAGGAAATCACATCGCAAAAGCCTGATGAACTTTCTCGGTCAATGCAGGGATCAAACACGCAAGAGGCAAAGCTATTTCTATAGTGGACATTCCTCCGAAGTCACAAAATGAAGGAGCCTTTTGTTTCATCAAATCTCCACAAAACACAAAACCAAACATTATAATAATCAAACAACAATATCGCACAACAAAAACAATGAAATGAAGGAGTTATTTGTTTCATCAAATCTCCACAAAACATAACACCAATTATTATAATAATCAAACAACTATAACGCACAACCAAAACAATGAGAACACGACCCCAATTATTATAATAATCAAACAACAATAACGCACAACCAAAACAATAAGAACACAACACCAATTATTATAATAATCAAACAACTACAACACACACACAACCAAAACAATAAAAGCACAATTTCAAATCATGGAAGAGAGAGAGAGATTTAGTCTTACCCAATTTTCTCTTAGTAACATCTGTCCTGACCCAAATAAAACATAACATCAGCCAAAATAATTCACATGCAGAGAAAAAAAAATAAAAAAAATAAAAAAACATGGCATTAGAGAGAGAGAGAATAACATTCAACATTTATCACAAGATGCAGACCACAGTATTATCAAATATACCCATTATTGTAGCGGGTTTTTTTTTTTTGTTTTCTCAAATAACAAGAGGGAAATGAAATGAATCGGGTTTAACAGCCTACTTTTCTGCTCCGACTGGGCTAATGAAGACCGGTGTATGAATGAGGGAAATTTTGCTTGGACAATGGCGTTCTGCCCTACTCTTATATCGAATTCCAACTGTCAAGGGTTTATTTACATGCATGCCAATATTTTTCATCACGTCTGACTAGACACTGTGCCTTGCCAGGACGTTTGTCCTACAACAGAGAGAGAGAGAGAGAAATGGGGTTTAACGTCCACTCGACACAAACTAGGTCATTTCGGGACTAACATATGGTTTTTAATTTTATTTCAATAATTCGCTTGTGCATAGGGGTCATTAGCAATGGGAGGAAACCGGAGGACCCGGAGAAAACCCACGAGGTTGGACAGGCGACCCTACTCCTTGTCATGTACAATCGGAGATTCGAAACCACGCCAGTCGACTCAATGACAGACTCGATGATACAGCGCGCGCACGCTAACTATTCAGCATTCCAACCCCCCTGTCCAACAACAACTTTTTCATCCGACTAGATAGTAGATATTGTGCCTGTAACACTGACAAAAGTAAGCACACCAGAAAATTGCTACAAGAAGGGGGGTTTATTTGATAATATCTGTATATGAACAAATCAATTGTCCAAAATGGTCATGTAATGACTTTAGTAATAATCTTCATTGTGCAATAAAAATAAAATGATCATTATTTAGGTGAAAAAAAATGAAATGCATGTTGATAGATCGAACATAGCTTGGGGGATAATTTCAATCGTATTAAATTTTTAGATTTTAAAAGTTCATAAAACAAAGATGGTTGATAAATAAATATTATGTGCAGGGATTGAGAAGGTGAATAACACAACATAGATCTGGCCCCAAGTTCACAAAGTATTCTCAGACTTAAGTTAAGAATTTAGTCAACTTTCAAGCACTGTTTATGAGAAATATCTTTAATCCAGAAACAAAACTTTGCACATAGTTTCTTATTGATGTATATGATACATTGAAACAACACAAGTTTTATACAGGGCTATATTTTAGTTAAAATGAAACAAACAATTTTGAATAAATTCTTAACTTAATTATGAGAATGCTTTGTGAACTTGGGACATGGAATTTTACAAACAAACAACTCATTAAAGATGCATTATGTAAGAATTACATCGGCAAAAAAAAGTTAACTCCGCACAGAATAAAGTAATTTGCCTGAAATGTATTTCTGAACTTTATAGCAAGAACGGTCCGCTTTTCATCTATTTCTTATATAAAGCATTACGTCAGAACTAAATCTGCAAAAACTCATAACTCCGCACAGAATAAAGTAATTTGACTGAAATCTATTATTGAACTATTATAGCAAGAACAGTCAGCTTTTTATTCAATTCTTACATAATGCATCTTTAATAAATGGCTTGTATCAGGGCTTTCTTTTCAACATTATGACAGTCAGTCAATTTGTGACATATCTAGTTCACAAGATATTTTGTTCAATGAACATGACAATTTTTTAGCATTAACTGAATTTTTGACAGTTTTTTTACACATTCAAACTACAAGTTTAGCTGTATTTTTTGTGTTTTAAGACCAGATTAAATTCCTTTAAATTCTAATTTCATGGTATGTAAATTGACTGACAGGTAAGTTTTTTACCTGGTTAATTTGACTGTCAGTCAGTCAAAACTGGTCAATATGACTGAATTGAGAGCCCTGATTGGTTACTTCCATTTCTAGCCATTTTTTAAACATTCAGATGTTAGGGAAGGTTGACAACAAATATTCATACAAATCAGTTGACAGATGGGGTAGATATATTTTACACTGGAACTTGACTACAACACTGATTGGATTAATAATGAACAACAGGACCGGCTTAACACTGGGCAATGGCCCTGGGAGCCCCACAAGCATAGCAGCCATATCTTTGTTATACAACAAGTTTTTTAAAGTTTAAATAGTGATTTTGTGGAAATTTTGAATGGCACACTAAGAAAATACAAAATATCATGTGAACCAATTGAGTATTCACTGGTCTCTACTTGTAAGTTCATAGTATGTTTTTCTTTTTTAGGTTGAGTCATTCTACATGCCTTTGACTAGTCTCTGTCTACAGTTGTATTCCATCTGAGTTACCATGTTTTTATTTTGCAAAATTAAATTTTTTTTCATATATATTTAGCCAGATGTGCCACTAATTTTTCATGTGTTGCAAGGTGTGCCGTTGGCAAAAAAGGTTGAGAACCACTGATTTACATTTTTCTTCCTGTGAGTGGTTATGTAGGTAGGGGGCCAGTAGACGGCCTTGCCTGGGGGCCTATAAAGCTGTTAAGAAGGCCCTGATCATAATGAACATTTCTACAATACATATGAGAGATTTAATGGAAATAAATTGGTATTTGTGCATACAGGGTTAATATATTTTAGGTATGATTGCGTTATTTTTATGATATGAATCGTACCTGGATGGTCTGTTGTCTGTTTAATCAACTGTAGATAAAACTCATTGGACACGTGGTCACTCTCCAGACATTTCGTCATTACGATCTGTATCATTCCAATATGGTCATAATTCTCATTACTACTGCCACCTAGTGAAGAAAATAAAATACATATAAAACAGGTAAAAGCTATTTGCAATACCATGGTGCAATAATTACACTGCTGATTTTTAGAGAGAGAGAGAGAAATGGGGTTTAACATCCACTTGACACAAACTAGGTTATTTCGGGACTAACATATGGTTCAATTTTATTTCAATAATTAGCTTGCCCATAGGGGTCTTTAGCTGTGGGAGGAAACCGTAGAAAACCCATAAGGTTGGCCAGTCGACCCTACTCCTCATCACGTACAACCAGAGAATCAAAAAAAAATATAAGGAGTCCTATGTGTATGGTTGTTATTGAAATGAGGAGATTCAAAACCAGAGTTGTCTCCCTTAGTGCACAAATCTATTATGTGGTATAATTATTACTGGTTGTCACCATGGTTGTAAAATCTCACAACCAAGGAGCTCCTGGTTTACTTACTGAGGCACTGCAGCCCACTATTATCATCCTTATCAATTCCTACCTGATTCCTCGACACCTGTATATATTAATATAGATGTAAACATTTTAATGGCCACCTCCTCCATCAGTGGGTCGTGTATTAATGTTAAACTCTGTTTGATTGGTATTTTAGTATAGGACCAATAGTTGATGTCGTACTGTCCCGTATCACCGGCAGCGTAGTTCCGTAATCTGTCCATCTTAGACTTAGTTAACCTGAAAATAATAACAAACACTTTGTGTTCAAAATGCCATGAAGAGAATATTATCGGGACAGCAGCACATCTGCCTACTATTGTTCAATTTCCAACTGATAATGTCTTACTGTTCTGCTCCAACTGGGCTAATGAAGACAGGCAAATGCCATACAGTATGCTCTGGGGGAAATTTGACCCGGGCAGCTACACTATGGACTACTCTTATATCGAATTCCAACTACCATTTTGATTATTGCGACGTCATCTGGGACAACTGCACAGACCAACTAGCTAACAAATTAGAGCACCTACAACTGGATGCACTTAGGTCCATATGTGGTGCTGTAAAGGGTACCAGCCATAGATTGTTATATAAAGAAACCGGTTTTATTACGCTAAAAGAGAGACGCAGAAGACATAAACTCAAATTCATTTATAAAATTATAAACGGATAGAAATCTGAATAAAAATATTGCTTATAAAAAAAAAAAGGGATCTTTTACATGCACGCCAATGAATGGAACCTCAATTTTTCGTATTATCCGATGTACTTTCTTGGTCAATGCAGGAATCGAACACGTGACCTCCGGGCTAGCCAGTCAGCGTCTTACTCACTTTTTATCCTCGGGAGACACCACCCGTAATAAGTGGAAACTGGGTTTGAAGGTTCTCCTTGACCCATGTCAGGATTCGAACAGGGATCATAACAATGACAATACTTGTCTATTGCACTTCTATTCAACCCAGGATTTGAACTAGGAACATTCTAGTTGTGATAATAACAATAACAATATTTGACTATTGCGAAACTATTCAACCCACTAGGAAATGTTCAAGACACAAGAAAATGTTCTTATTTTTCGATTTGGTAATGAAAGTGACTAAATAGCTATGCCTAGTCTTCACTTCACAGAAGAGCAGGCAGAAATACTGCTGCCCTCTCTGTCTCTCTCTATCAGGGGCGGATTGGGGCCCCCGTGTCGGAGCAGCCCCTTTTACTGACCGCGGAGCCCAGATGGGGGTTCCGGGGGCTCTCCCCCATGAAAATTTAGAACAAGAGCATCGCTAACGCAGCAATATACGTCCACATTCCTGTTTTGTTTGATATGGTCCAGTTTGCTTTGAGGGTCTGTGAATTAAAACTGGGTTGTAGGACTGCTATCAGTTTAACACTTCGTTCACATTAACAGAACACAATTTTTTTATTTTAAAACAATCGATGTCTTTATTCTAAAAGCATGACGTTTCGAATAGGTATGCAAAGTTTCAAAAGGATCTGTTAAGAATTGCGGTCTGTAGGCAAAACACAAGTCACACAAACATTAGGCGTAGCTCTGTCCCAAGGGGTCGAGCATGCACCAAAAATAATAATAGAGGTCGGCCTTAGGATTAAGGAATAAGTATAAAAAGTAGCCTTAGGCTATAAGGAATAAGTATAAAAAAGTTTTCAAGATGATCGATTAAGAAATGCGGTCTGCAAGTGACACACAGACATAAAAAAAGAAAATGGGCGTAGCTCTGCCCCTGGGGGTTGGGTATTCACCACAAATAATAGGGATGTTCCTTAGGATAGAAGGAATATGTATGCTAGGTTTCAAGGTGATACGATAAGAAATGCGATATGTAGATGACAAACAAATAAATAAATATAAGGAATGGGCGTGGCTCTGCCCCTGGGGGTCGGGCATGCACCAAAAACAATAGGGATCTTCCTTGGGGTATAAGGAATAAGTATACCAAGTTTGAAGAAAATCCAGTAAGAATTGCGCCCTGTAGGCGACACAAAGACACACGAAAAGAAAATGGGAAATGGGCGTGGCTCTGCCCCTGGGGGTTGGGCATGTACCCCAAACGATAGGGATGTTCCTTAGGGTACAAAGAATGTGTATGCAAGATTATAAGTTAAGAAATGTGGCCTGTAGACGACAAACAAACAAATACTAGAAATGGGCGTGGCTCTGCCCCTGGGGGTCGGGCATGCACCAAAAACAATAGGGATCTTCCTTGGGGTATAAGGAATAAGTATACCAAGTTTGAAGAAAATCCAGTAAGAATTGCGCCCTGTAGGCGACACAAAGACACACGAAAAGAAAATGGGCGTGGCTCTGCCCCTGGGGGTTGGGCATGCACCCCAAACGATAGGGATGTTCCTTAGGGTACAAAGAATGTGTATGCAAAGTTTCAAGATTATTAGTTAAGAAATGTGGCCTGTAGACGACAAACAAACAAATACTAGAAATGGGCGTGGCTCTGCCCCGGGGGGTCGGGCATGCACCAAAAACAATAGGGATCTTCCTTGGGGTATAAGGAATAAGTATACCAAGTTTGAAGAAAATCCATGAAGAATTGCGCCCTGTAGGCGAACCACAGACACACACACACACACACACACACACACACACACACACACAGACAGGGGCGACGGCATAATACGTTCACATTATGAATGTGGACGTATAAAAATGAACCCCAAATATGCGATTTGGTGGCATATCTGATTATAATCTCTGTCAAATAATATATCTCATAAATCGATTAATTTAGGCCAAAACCACGACCTGCAAGTAATTTACAACCATCAACCTGTGAAATTATCATATCGTCATATTATTAATTAATGTATTATCATTGTATCGTCAAGACCAGCTATCATCAAATTTTGCCAAGGCCTTAAGATTGAATTTTTTTTTTGAGTTACGAACCATCGGCAGACGTTTCTGGCGACAGTGTCGGGTGAATCCGATGAAATTTTTGGATGAAATTCGGAATCCCCATTGCAGGATTCCGAATTCCGGCCCACACCCAGCACTTCCGGCCCAGAAAGTCTATTATACCAGCCCAATCCCGATTCCAGTGATGGGGTGACGGCCCGTTAAAGCCACCGGCCACATACAAAATGATCATTATCATCATTCCATGGCCGGTCCAGAGAGAGAGAGAGAAGGGGTTTAACGTCCACTCGACACAAACTAGGTCATTTCGGGACTAACATATGGTTTTAATTTTATTTCAATAATTCGCTTGCGGGTAGGGGTCTTTAGCAGTGGGAGGAAACCGGAGGACCCGGAGAAAACCCACGAGGTTGGACAGCATGGCCGATCCAATACCCCCCCCCCATATGATGTTCAGCAGAAAAGGGTTTTTTAGACGAATTGGACAAAAAAATTTTTTTTTCATTTTTTGTCCGACCGGCCCTTCGGGCTATTGCCCGATCGCCCATGCTCTCTATCTCATTTTAATCAACCATTATGGACAGTGGGTATGCCTATATTAATACTGACTGGGGTTTAGGGTTCGATATAATCTATACAAAGTTACTCAATAGTCAATGATGACCGCCTACCTTCTAAGAGTATTTTTAAAGAATCCAGCATCAGCGCTGGTAATAGGTCTCTGTAATAAGCGACTCTCAGATAATAATTTACGACATCTGACTAATTCTTCGTATAATTTCAACTTCTCTTCATCCGTCATCTTCATCTACAAAAATAATAGTTTGGTTTGAAAATCTAAAATCTAAATAATAAAAATTGAAGAATATGTTGATGTATCCCTATTTCTGAGATATGTCTTTACTGACTAAAACCTACTTTCTGACCAATCTGATTAAAATACAGATCTATATTTCGTTTCGTCTTTTTTATACTTTCTATGGCCTACACTACATAAAAATCTGACCAATTGTGGTGGGAGGTCGCATCAGGTGTCATACGAGCGGCTTTTGACATTTGATTAACCAATCAGCGTGGATGTTTCTAGTGGGTCACCCACAGTTCCATGCAACTCATGCCATAAACTCGCCGTAACAGACAGTTTCATTGGCTAATCAATCACACTACCCAGAACGTCTCTTCCAATTCCTATAGTGTAGTACAGACGAGTAAAACGAAATTCTGAACTATAAAAAATGAAACGAAATAGGATCTGTGTTTTAATCAAATTGCTTTCTGACATGACATTTTTGTACAATATCATCATTCTTATAATTAATCTGCTATGTGTTTTGTTGATTTTTTGAACAAGTAAACATACCCCAGATGCAACAATATGACACTGCCATGGTTTTTATGTATGGTACAGCACTACATACTAAGATTTTATAAGAAAAGGGGATATAAAAATTTATGGCCACTTGTAAAAAGAAGAAAACTCTGTCACCCAAACCCTAATCAATTCAGAGGGTTCATATACTAGAAATTAAAATTAAAATTCATTTCATTTCTCAATAAATAAAATATTAATATAAGGAATCCTAAAACTCACTTTCTTTAATCCTTCGTAATCTGATTTCATCCATGTAGCATGTTGAGGTGAATAACTTGCCACTAGGTGGCCAATGTCTTCTTTATGATTTGTCTCGAACATGAACGTCCGCTGTGGACAATCCAAATCTAGTTTATCTAATAATTCTAACGTGATATAATTGTCGTTTGAATCTATAATAATCGATTCAATCTGACAATATTTAAAATCGTGAATCACGAACTTGTCTTTGGCACGCACGAATTTCACCCCGTCCATATTTATTGCTAATAATGCGTCACTTGTATGTGACCACAATCCCTTATGTAATATAGGAAACATTGTACATCCATATAAGGGAAATTGTTTGACGCATGTTAAGTACCACACTTGAGCTTCTAGCGTACTTTTACCACTTCCGTAGTGCTGAAAGATAAAACAGATGTGAAATCAATGAAATGGCTTCAATTTCCTACTTTTCTGCATCAACTGGGCTAATGAAGACGGACATATGTCATTCAGAAACAGGGGTGTTTCCACTTTCTCTACATCTAATTCCAACTGCCAAGGGTTCTTTACCATGCACATCAATGTGTCCACGGGACCTTCGTTTTTCGTCCCACCAAAACAAAAGGATTCTGTTCCATGCCAGACTTCATCCTGAACCAGACTGGATAATCCCAGGGAACTTTGTCAGCTGACATTTGGATCTAATTCCAGACCACTTGGTTGGATAACATTGGTCTGTAAAACTATGTTTATACAAAATTCTTCTAAAATTGTAACTTGCTTTAGAATACAAAGTTTAGAATCAACAATATTTTAAACCTTAGCGACTGGTTACTATTCCATGTACATTTGTATTGTTGGGTCCCACATTAAGTTTACGTAGTGTTTGATGACCGAGTAATGAATAGGTAAAGAATATATTTCCTTATGACTTACTTTATGAGCTTTAGCTGTTTCTTTTGACCAGTTTCTACCAGAGGATGCTAAAATTCTTCTACATAAATATTGATCTGCCTCCCCATACCTGTAAAACAGAAATAGATAGATAGATAGATAGATAGAGTAGGATATATCTGGGGCAAGTTCAGGAATTTTTGCAGCGGGGCCCTGAGGACGTCCAGAGTGTAGACAATGTCAAGTTTGGAGTCAGAGATCTGTGGAATTACTCCAGAAATTTGATACAATCAGAAGCTTTGAGACGATATTTCTCCTCATTTAGGTGCATATATGTATAGGATTACAGTGGAGTGACGCCAAAAGGGCAGAAATGTTTCATACATTTGTGTGTTCGATGATTGTAGAAAAAAAAATGCTCTGCAGGAGCAGCAAGAGCAGGAAGGTGCGGACTCCTTGAGCTCCTTGGACCCCTCCCTTCTGGATACATCCCTGCTAATATGTGTTTTTTATTCCCATCTGAACGATTAGATACTGCTGATTGCCAGACCCTCAGTCCTGCACCAATTAAAAGGGGAGAAACGACACTGGATAATCTCCAGGAATTTTCTCGGCCATTAACAGGATCAAACCCTGGATCTCTTGGTTAACGATCCAGCACCTTATTCACTGATCCACTGTGGCTCCTATTGTGAAATAGGAGATCACTCATCGCATGCCAATATTGTTACTATGGTTACCTGAATTGTTTATCCTCCTCATATTCCCCCCAGATAACTTGAGCTTGTAAACCTGCTAGTTGTAACGCTACTTTATCAGATATAGAATATTCATCCAACTGTAGCAAAAACAAATAGTTATATAAATAAAACAACTTGGTCAATTATATTGATGGACGTTCTAAAATAGGAGTAAAATACACACTACACTGTAACCCGGGTATCATTTAATCTTGTGTATTTAGCACTAATTTCTTTCACAATGTAATATCAAGTCTTTGTTGAAAAATTCATAAAAATCATTTAAAATCACCCAAAATCATTTAATTTGTACATGTGTCTAGTTTAAAGCTGACCATTCAATTTATTGATGGAAGCTCTAAAATAGGAGTACAATACACTAGCTAGCACAAACATGTGTAGCAACTCAAAAATTATTTAGAATTTATGCTGGAGAGGAAGATGGGGTTTATCAACCATGCCATGCAATACAAATTAGGTCATTCCAGGACTAACATATGGTGTATTTTTATTTCAGTAAATAGCTTTCACATAGTTGTGGGAAGGCTCGGAGAAAACCAACATGGCTAGGCCCGGAGTAAACCCTCGAGGTTGGACAGGCGACCCTATTCCTTGTCACATACAACTGGGGAATCGAAACAACGCCAGTTGACACAATGACCAACCTTATTATACATCACACACGCGCTAACCATTCAGCCCTCCAAAACCCCACAAATTTCCGATAAATGCAAATACTTACTTTAACGACTTTAGCAACAGCCTCGGCATATAACAGATGATATTCAACAGGATCATTAGGAATATCATGGACATGTTTGTAAACACGCTTTCTAAACATGATCTTAGCATCAGCTCCACCTAGTGCTAATTTTGGTCCTTTTTTCGATATTGTTTCATAATGACTTGGTTTAGCTGCCATCTTTTCTTGCCTGTAAATAAACAACCAGTCAGAATATAATGTAAGCATGGACCCATAGCTTTTTAGAATTAATGCTAATAAACGTAACCCATTATGCTAGGTTCGCACTATCGTGCAATGCATTACGATAGGATTGTCGCGATTGAGTCCACGATCTGGTACGTGATAATACGATAGGATACGTTTCGATACGATCAAAACAATTGCTATGACTGACCTCAATATATAATAAGATCTGATAGGATCACCACCATTACTCCACGGTTAAAACCACAATTTCCATCGTAGAGCGAATTGTGATAGTGGGAACCGAGCATCAGCATTTGCTACTTGAAAATACTGACTACCCTGGGCCCTGTTTCACAAAATTTTAACTAAAGATAAAATCCAAATTTTAGTAGATACTTCAATTTTGATTGGCTAAGCACTAAAATCAATCTAATATTATCCAATCAAATACTAAAATTTGGATTTTATCTTAATTAAAATTTCGTGAAACAGGCCCCTGGTTTCCAGAAAAAATACTAACTACCCCTGGTTTCCAGAAAAATTGAGAGTAAAGTGATGTTGTTTTTTTTTCATTCGGTTTTGTACTTGTAGCTCATTTTTGAACCTGTTCAAAACTACTGCTTCAAACAGAGCCACAGAATGAATCGGTAAATATATTAATATGAACAATGAGTAAGTAAATATGAATAATGAGTAAGTAAATATATGAACAATGAAGAAGTAAATAAACAAATGGTTAATACTTACGCTTCCCACTGAGCCATAATATCAGCGATATATTCATAACTACGTATAAATCTCTCATATTCAGTTGTTACCTGAAAAAGATAGAGTGGTATAGGTTTTAGAGGCCTTGAAATAGTTTCTAATGGAAAGTAAAGAAGCAAGGTGTAATTTATATGGCCTCATTTAAACAAAAGTAAACTTGTAATTTTACCATGAACATTAGAGATATCTATGAGGATAACCGAGACTACTTTCGCTCAAAAAGAGAGAGAGAGAGAAATGGGGTTTAACGTCCACTCGACACAAACTAGGTCATTTCGGGACTAACATATGGTTTAACTTTATTTACATAATTCGCTTGCGCGTAGGGGTCTTAAGCAGTGGGAGGAAACCGGAGGCCCCGGAGAAAACCCACGAGGTTGGACAGGCGACCCTACTCCTTGCCACGTACAACCGGGGATTCGAAACCACGCCAGTCGACTCAATGACAGACTTTATGATACAGCGCGCTCACGCTAACCATTCAGCCATCCAACCCTCAACTTTCGCTCAAGACTACTTCTGAGTTCTAATGGAGTTCTGTACTACCAGCACGATTTAACTTATATATTGCGATTTAAACGCAGAAAGGTTACAATTGCTTGGTTCACTTGGCAGCCAAATTAGCTGGAAAATACGAAAAGTGTATAATAATCTAACGAACCTCATAAATAGCCCATCCTTCTACAGATTTTAATCCTATTTTTCTGGCTACTTTCTCGAGAACATCTACAGCAGTATCACATGGCATCATACTAATGGCCTTAGTTTTACCATCCATAAAGAATATCTTACAAACAATAGGGGCCAGTGATTGGACACTCTGAAATATACAATATTTTATATACAATAATAGGGGTCAGTGATAGGACACTCTGGAATATACAATATCGTATAGGGCCCAAGCAACAGGTCGATAGGGGCTAGTGATTGGACACTCTGGAATATAGAATATTTTATATACAAACTATAAGATCTAGTGACTGGAAACTCTGAAATATAGAATATTTTATACACCAACAACAGGAGCTAGTGACTGAACACTCTGAAATATACAATATCATATAGGGCCCTAGCAACAGTACAATAGAGGTTAGTGATTGGACACTCCGAAATATACAAGATTTTATACCATATAAGGGACAAGTGATTGGACACCTGAAATAAATATTATTTTAAATACAATATAGCATAGTAAAATATATAAATACTAGCAGGATACTGGCTTCACTCGGGGGTCATAACACGGAAACCGGAAGTGGTAGACTAACGCCACCTGGTCTATGTTACTCCCCGGTCTGAGCTAACCCTATACCCCAAATTTCAGACTCGGGGCAGACCTAGTGTAGCCGCCAACCCCTAACAGACAGACAGACAGACAGACAAACGACAGTCACAAATATATATATAGATTATTGCTAGAGGAAACGAAATGGGGGTTTAACATTCTTCTGTTCTGCTCCGACTGGGCTAATGCAGGTTGAATGTCCACCCAAAGCAATCTAAAGCAGAGAGAGAGAGAGATAGAATCTAGATTATTTTGGGACTAACATATGGTTTAATTTTATTTTCAAATTCTCTTGTGCATAGAGGTCTTTAAAAGTAATAGGAAACCCACAAGGTTGGACAGACAAACCCACTCCTTGTCAAGTACAACCGTGGAATAGAAACCAAATCACTTGACTCAATAATAAGACTTTATGATCCAACACGCACGCATTAACCATTCGGTCACCCAACCCCACTAACTAGAGCATTTTGGGACTTACATATGGTATATTCTTAATTTAATTTATTTAGTTGCACGAGTCTTAATAAGTGGAAGGAAACCCAAAGAACTTGCAGCAAACCAACGACATTAGGTAATTGATGTCAACATGGAATCAATGACACATGTTATGAATAAAACAGGATTCAGACCACCCACCCAATAATACCCCCAATGTTAATAATACCTTTAGCATGTTTTACAATATTTACAATCTTTAGGACTTGTTGAAGAAAACTTACCAATATTTCTATGGCAGAAGCTGGATATTTTCGTGATGTTGCTCGTGGTATTGTTAGGTGATTGTGGGTCATCAGAGCATACTTGCCAACATTTTTATCAAAACACCATTTCTTCACATAGGATAACATATACTGAAATAAACAATTTATAATATAGTCGTTTTTTTTTCAGAAATAAGCAATGAAATGAAATAAAAGAGGGTCTAACATCCTACTTTTCTGCACCGAATCAACTAATGAAGAGTGGCTATGATGTCATGATTGGTCGAGATATTTTTTTTATGCAGACGGCACACACATTGTACTCCGAAATTCTCCTTTTCACTCGATTGACACTGTTTTTGGATTTGACAGAATTTAATTCCGGAACGTTTAATCAATTATCCCATAATTTCCAGTAAAAATTGTGTCAAGGGACAGAACTCATTCATTACCTTATGAAGATTTTTACTGGGTGAGAACGAGGCTGTGAACAAACACATCATAACCCAGGCTTGACGTAGTGACTCTGGTTCTGGATTATCATTGGTCTGTCTGATCAGCTGACACAATATTTCATCTCGTAGTTCAATTCTCTCAAGACCTGTTTTCATGATGTGTTGTATGGTTGCTATGGATGTTTCTTCCTTGGATTCATCACGAATATATTTGGTTAATTCCTGTAATTATAACCATGGGTTAATTAATATTCTGAAGATGGAATATAAATATGAATATCATATTTTTACTTTATTGACGTCCTTGGTTTAAGCCAATCGTTTCTTCTACAATCAATGATAATCAGTTGTCATATAGTCCACCGAATAAATAAAGCAAAATTAAACACAATCCATGTCATCTAAGGTCAAAATGTCCAGCGGATGAATACAGCAAAATCGAGTAATGGCTGCATGTGGTCTCGTTACAGGAGAAAAATCCCATTAACGGAAACATTCTCATCACCAATAGAAATAACCTAAATTACAGACGAGTAAATTCAGTAGCTTAATAATAATTACACAGCTAATGCATTCAGATTTAATGGTATATAAATTATTTATGATGACTGTTTATTTTATATCAATCACCAGTAAATACGTATTAATTATTTAAACAGTAGTACTTTTATATTGTCCTAGTGTTTACATAGCGATTTCTATCATTAATTTCAATAACATTTCATTACAGATGTAACATCATCCTTTGATGTTGGCAGGCGTACCATTATTTCAAATAATAGTACAGACCACATGCCAATCATACTTTATTGAAACATTGGGCTCGCGTGAGGATTTCATTAAAACGCAGGTGGGGGATAGTGTCTATATTAAAGTTGTTTATAGATCTCAAGCAAGACATTGCGTGATATATTGAAACAACACTCGGACTAATGTCCTCGGGCAGTATCAATATTAATGTCTTGTTTTCAACCTTTAAACCACACATATTCGGCAATACTATATACCAGAAATCACCGAAAAACACTGGAAAACTACCGGAAAACACCATTTTATACTGAATACCGGAAAACACACTAAATACCGGAAAATACCCTAAATAGGTAACCTGGAGACTGGCACCATAAATAGGTAACCAGGAGCCTGGTCCTCTGTGTGCCTGGGTTAGGGTTAGGGTTAGTTTCTGGTTTATAGTATAGCCCTTCTCCGGGTTACCTATTTAGGGTGTTTTCCGGTATTTAGTGTGTTTTCCGGTATTTAGTGTTTTTCCAGTATTCAGTATAACATGGTGTTTTCCGGTAGTTTTCCGATATATATAGTATAACCCCACATATTTGATATAATAGAATGAAATGGGGTTTATTGTCCTGTCAACAGAATAATTCAGGTTATTCTGAGGTAGGCATATAATCATTTTTATTTCTATGGTTTACTATGGGAAGCAAGATAGGAGAATTTAGCCCAGGCAGCAGTGTGTCCAGTGTGTCTTAAATTTCCATCTGTCAAGGGTTCTCTTACCTGCATGTCAATATGTACACTTTTTAGTCCCATCTGAAGGACTAGGCCTATTTTCATTTGTCAGCCTTACAGCCATTACAGGGTTTACCACAGACAAATCAGAAATCTAGCTGGAAAAATCTTGAAGGTTTTTCCATGGACCTTATATAATAAGGTCCATGGTTTTTCACAGCGTACTCGGCATTTAAGAGTTGAGATTTCTATAGTGTTTTGTAACCCATGTGACGTAGACAGTAGTTTGTAACCGGATCAGAGACCCTTATCACTACATAGGCATATGACAAATCTAGCCGGAAAAATCTTTAAGGTTTTTCACTGCACACTCTGTATTTAAGGGTCACGATTTATATAGTGTTTTGTAACCCATGTGGCCTAGACAGTAGTTTATAACAGGATCAGTGGTCGATATGAAATGTATATATAACACTAACACAGACAGGGGTATATTTGTGGGGTGTTAAAGTTGATAAATAATTAATGAAGACTGAAAACTTTTGTTTTATTTGTCTATGTTATTATTACCATAAAGTCATGTATATGTTTAGTTTTTCAAGGCAAAGTCACAATCAACATGTACCATTCAGTATCGAGCTGGAATTTCATTTTTCAAGTCATAGGAAATATCCTAATATAAAAAAATAATTTGATTTTTTCGAATCTGGTTAAAATACAATTAAATCTATATTTTGTTTTGTTTTTTTATACTTTCGATGGCCTACATTACAAGAAGATCTGACCAGTTGTACTAGAAGGTCTTGTCAGGGGTCGTACGAGCGGCTTTTGACCCTATGACATCAGACATTGATTAATCAATTAGCGTTGATATTTCTAGTGGTTTACCCACAGTTCCGTGCATCAAATGCCAAGAACTCGCCGTAACAGACCATTTCATTGGCTAATCCCTCACTTCAACTAGAATGCCAGTAATATAACAACTCTTCCAGATCCTAGTGTAGTAAAGACATATAAAACAAAATTTTGAACTGCACATACAAGAAATATCATAATTTTTCAGGTTGCACTAGAAGACCTAAATGACCTTCAGGAAACTCATCCTTAATGCCATATAAACAGGATAATTTAGAGAATAATAAATCCACCTGAACAAGACAAGAGAGGACTTATTGTGATTGGTCGTAATACAGAGAGCGAAAAAGAAATGGGGTTAAAGGCCACTTGACATCAACTAGGTCATTTTGGGACTAACATATGGTTCAATTTTATTTCAATAATTTGTTTGCATGTAAGGGTCTTTAGCAGTGGGGGGGAAACTGAAGGAATTTGGGGAAACCCAAGTGGCATGGTATCGATAAGGTTCTCGATAAGGGAAAGCAAGACTGAGGAATTTTTGGACAACACTGGGAGCGAATCAGAGATATCCTGATTAGCGAGCTAGCGTCTTACTCACTGAGTCACCACGGTTTCCAACAAATAAATCAACACTTACTTTAAATATATTACATGCTTGGTGAATATTCTCTGCATCATGTAGGTGTATGTGTGATGTTGGGATCAGACCACTCTTACAATAACGTAACATCTCTTCTTTAGCTAACGTATCCTGAAAAAAACAAATCAATAAAATAGATTGATTTAAAACCGATATTAGATAGGTTGCCAGGCATAAGCCCACACATGTTAGTCGTCTAAGGTGGCTATAAAGGTTGTCGAACTGTAAATCTTCAGATAAATAAAAAGCAGAAATCTAATACTGCACGATGTCACTGATGCATTGATAAGATTCTACGATAATGACACTAACAATGTCAGCCACAAATTCAGGCTTTTTAGGCATCATAATTCCCACGGCCATTCTCTCCAACACAAGACTTTTTTTTTTTCCTGAGTTATTGCTACCAACATTCAGTAAAAATTCATGTTACCATTTCTAGAGTGCCTAATTGATTATTATGTCAGGGACAATTAATATACTTATTACTATGCCTATGTGTGGAATGCATGGATTAATGAGTTTAGACGCAACACAGAGGGAGGAAAACGGAGAACCCTGAGGAAACTCACGAGGTTGGACAGGTGACCCTACTCCTTGTAAAATACAACTGGGAAATCAAAACCACGCCAGTTGACTCAATGACAGACCATGTGATACAGCGTGCACGTGCTAACCATTCGGCCATCCAACTCCACTTGCTCCTAAGAGAAACAACTTTAATTTCAGCACCATTAAGACCATAATCATTATTCGAGTAGGAAGATTGAGTGTGCTTAAGATCATAAGGTCTGTCGTTTAGGTCAAATGGAGTGGTTTCAACCCCCCACAAATGTTTTCAAACTCTTTTCTTTAACTAGTTGACAACCAAAAAAATGTTTGTTTACAGAATTGTACAAAATAGAATGATTAAAATCTGATGAAAAACAACAAATTAATCTAGCTTGCACAACTTTTGCCTTTGGTGGATTTCTTTTAAAAATAGGTCAGTACATGAAACCATACTAACGAAACAAATAGTAATAGTGAAACGATAACTTAATTACTGCCTTCACCATGCCACTACAAAAATCATTAGTGACGGTAGAAACAGAAAACACATGGTGTAAAATAACGAGGACCATTGATTGGTTGAACTAATCTGAGTCAGCTGTTTCGTTCAACCTGAATGAAGAGAATGTAACAACCTGTACTAGTGTTTTATTGCAAGCAGATGCTCATCACATAAAGACATTTTATTGAGAGCAGTTGCTCACCGCATAACATCTCATCCGTTCTCAGCTCTTTATCAAACATAGAATTCATACAAAGTGTGTGTAGAATCTGTGTCTAACAGGAATTTGAAAACAATGGATCGAATGATCCATACTGAAGTGTTCTTCATTAGATAAATATTAAAGTAGATAAACCATAGAATTCATACAGAGAGAGAGAGAGAGAGAGAGAGAGAGAGAGAGACAATCATTTAAACACCACATATTCCAGTGGTGACAGGATTCACATTCATACAACAAGCCTCTAATTTACAGTTGAATCTTATTTCCCCTGTCTGAAAGTTTTGACTCAACTTTTTGAAAAAGTCCAATAGCTTTACATATCAAGGTTGCAGATGGAAGCATTTGAAACTCGCAGTTTAATTCAAATTACACCAACATTTTGTTCCGCTTCATATTTTCATTCTTTAGTCTCCTCTTGGTCTAATTGGACACATAGAATAATTGAGATTGCTTTTGGCAAAATGAAATGAAATGAAATGGGGTTAACGTCCTACTGTTCTGCTCCGAACTGGGCTAATGAAGACGGGCATACGCCATACAGTCTGCTATGAGGGAAATTTTGCCCAGACAGCGGCACTACGGCTTGTCAAGGGATCTTTTATGTGTACACGCCAATGTGTACACGGGACCTCGGTTTTTCGTCTCATCCGAACGACTAGACAGCTGTCCTTGTCAGGCCCTCCGTCCTGCAACCCTGACAAAGGGGAACCAAGTCGGAAAATCGGATGAACTTTCTCGGCCAATGCTGGGATCGAACACCAGACCTCCAGGCTAGCGAGCCAGCGTCTTACCCACGTGATCCCCAGAGAGAGAGAGAGACAATCATTTAAACACCAGGTGTCCCAGTGGTGACAGGAGAGAGAGAGAGAGAGAAATGGGGTTTAACGTCCACTAGACACAACTAGGTCATTTTGGGACTAACATATGGTTTAATTTTATTTCAATAATTCGCTTGCGCATAGGGGTCTTTAGGAGTGGAAGGAAACCGGAGGACCCAGAGAAAACCCAAGAGGTTGGACAGGCGACCCTACTCCTTGTCACGTACAACCGGGGATTCAAAACCATGCCAGTCGACTCAATGACAGACTTTATGATACAGCGCACGCACGCTAACCATTCAGCCATCCACCACCCCCAGTGGTGACAGGATTCACATTCATACAACAAGTCTCTAATTTACAGTTGAATTTTATTTACCCTGTCTGAAAGTTTTGACTCAACATTTTTGAAAAAGTCCAATAGCTTTACATATCAAGGTTGCAGATGGAAGCATTTGAAACTCGCAGTTTAATTCAAATTACACCAACATTTTGTTGCGCTTCATATTTTAAATCTTTATTCTAATCTTGGTCTAAGTGGACACATAGAATAATTGAGATTGCTTTTGGCAGATTAACCTATAATCAAAACCTGCGACACAGGTACGTAATACCAAATGATGATTATATATGAATGATGATGATGGTACATAATACTGAATGATGATGATCATCTGATGATGGTACATAATACTGAATGATGATTTGATGATGATATATGATGAACGATGATTATATATGATGAATGATGATGGTACATAATACTGAATGATGACTGATGATGGTACATAATACTGAATGATGATCTGATGATGGTACATAATACTGAATGATGATGATATATGATGAATGATGATGATATATGATGAATGATGATTATATATGATGGTGGTACATAATACTGAATGATGACTGATGATGGTACATAATACTGAATGATGATCTGATGATGGTACATAATACTGAATGATGATTATATATGATGAATGATGATGGTACATAATACTGAATGATGACTGATGATGATTATGTATGATGAATGACAATAACATCTAATATTAATTATATTGGAAATCTTCATGATGATACAACTGAATGAAAATAATAGTAACAGATCTATGGTGTATTCATCTATAATCTGTATCGGTCTCCATGTTCCATCAATTGTTGCTTGTTTCGTTATTAATTTTACAGGGTCGAATAAATGACTTACTATTTGACAGACTGTTTTTATACAGTTAATTCCATTTCAACTGATTATTTAGCCCAGCAGACGTGATTGTCCGTCTGGTCAATTAAAGATGGTCCATGTATATGATACTCAAGTCAAGATTGATCTAGTGCCGCAAGTTATAGGGCACTCAGCTCTGTAAATAATGCTTTCAACTTCATTACACTTAAAGTATGAAAACGATCACATCTCACTGGTTGAACAAATATTACATATGAACGAATAGTGTCCAATATCCAGACCACTGATTCTGCATTACAGTGATATAAATTTATGAGTTACAATGATATTTAACAAACGTTTTTAAAGTAAAACTGTGTGTATGACCATGGAGCTTGGTCTTAACTGACTCACAGTGAACTTGACCAGCCGGAGAACTGTCAGAGAGAGAGAGTGAGAAATGGGGTTTAACGTCCACTCAACACAAACTAGGTCATTTCGGGACTAACATATGGTTCAATTTTATTTCAATAATTCGCTTGCGCGTAGGGGTCTTTAGCAGTGGGAGGAAACCGGAGGACCAGGAGAAAACCCACGAGGTTGGACAGGCGATCCTACTCCTTGTAACTCTGACTAGGTGAGTATGGCTAGGAGGTACCAGGTTCGATCCCAGTGTTCATCAAAACTGTTCCTCAAGGTTTTTCTGCCAGGTTACCTCATCAGTAGGGCAGAACAAACAATCAGGCAAAGAAAAGTGTCCAGTCCTTCTGATGGGCTGAAAAACAAGGTCTCTGACTGTGAACTCATTTCACATTATATCATTTGAGATTTTTGATAATGAGAATAATTTAAGGTTATTGTTAATATGATATAACTAAAGCCAAGGTCAGCTGTCTAGTCCTTCGGATGATACGAAAAACCGAGGTCCCATGTATACATTGGAATGCATGTAAAAGATCCCTTGGCAGTTGGAATTTGATATAAGAGTAGGCGATAGTGCCGCTGCCCGGGCAAAATTTCCCTCATATCACACTGTATGGCGTATGCCCGTCTTCATTAGCCCAGTATAGGAGCAGAACAGTAGGACGTTAAACCCCATTTCATTTCATTTTCATTTCATTTCATTTGATCTCTAAATGTCTGGTGAATCAAGTCTATAAGAGGTACTTTCTAAATGTCTGGTGTTTCAAGACTATAGGTCATTAACTATAGTTCTAGAGGTATCTTTAAATGTCTGATATTTCAAGGCTACCAGTATCTTTAAATGTCTGGTGTTTCAAGACTATAGATGATTAACTTGTACTACAGGTATCTTTCAGACCACCAGTTTCCAATAACTAACAGCAATCTATTTTACATTATTTCCACATGTCCTGATCCTGTTTTATCTTCATCTACCTCCACACCATGAACTAATCTTCCAGTTCATTTAAATCTCTCATACCACACAGTCAACTCCATATACCAGAAAATATCTTCACTTTATCTTCATTAATCTCTACCACACTGACTGCATAATCTTCTAATATATCTCTCTGATGGGTGGTCAAATGGGGTAACGCCTTCACTTTAGTTTACAAGGTCTGCCATTGAGTCAAGGGGCGTTGTTTCGACTCCAAGATTTTACGTAACAAAGAGTAGGGTTGCCTGCCCAACAACACATGGCATGTAATCATACAATTGGATAAAGAATTAATGAAAGAAATGGGATTAAAAGTATAACTTTTCTTCTCCAACTGGGCTAATCGATTGGATATGGAAAGAGCGAGAGAGAGAGATGGGATTTAAGTCCACTTGACACAAACTAGGTCATTTCGGGACTAACATATAGTTCAATTTCATTTC